AGGTGTTATTTACAGGGTACAGGGATACCCTGTAAATTCACGACATTTCCCACCCTTCAAACCGAAACATAGTCACTTCAAATCATTTAAAATTGTATTCCAAAGAAACAGACTTCAATCAGTGAAACCAGTTATTTTGATTTTTAAACTAAACTACTGAACCGATGTTGATAAAATTTTTACAATACCAATGTATAAGTATGTCCTTTCGGATAAACAAAGAATTTTCCAAATCGGTCTGCAACTGACGGAGTTATGAGATGGTTAATATTTAATGGACCAAAAAAGTCCAAAATAAAAATTATATATATGTATATGTATGTATATATATATATATATATATATATATATATATATATATATATATATATATATATATATATATATATATATATATATATATATACTGGCTCACTCGGCAAACGTTGTTTTACCATATACATTATTTCTAGAACTATACATGAAAATTCATCGTACTACAATTATTATATTCGATTGCCATCTTGCAACCCTATTACGTAGTATAAAAATCACGATAATTTGAAGTTATATGTATTTTTCAATGCTAAAGCATAAAAAAATTAAAAAAAATTATGACAAAAAATAAAAAAAAATTAAAGGTGGGTCACCCTTATCATTGAGGGGTGTGAAAAATAGATGTTGGCCGATTCTCAGACCTTCCCAATATGCACACAAAATTTCATAAAAATCAGCAAAGCCGTTTCGGAGGAGTTTGGTAACAAACACCGTGACACGAGAATTTTATACGAGTATATTAGATTTTTTTGATGATAATGGAATGGTAGCCCCGCCTGCGCTATCGGTATACACCGGCGGGGCACCAGTGCAGGATGATACATGAGGGTGAAGCAGGTCAGTTAGCCCATCGTGACAAATTCAACAATAAACCAATCACGATGATTTCCAGGGGGAACCGCGAGGAGGTCGACCTGATAGGGTTTATTGCTAGCAATGGGGTTGCTAATCCCCATTACTAACAATCCCTTCCCCCCCCCCCTATTAGATATTATTTAACTCTTTTTTGCACCAAAAACACAAAACATAAAAGGCGGTCTTATCGCTAGGGCAATCTCTTACAGACAAGCTTCGGTTAAAGGAGAATAGGATAGAATATTATACAACATACATACATACATACATACATATCTATCACGCCTGTCTCCCATTAGGGTAGGCAGAAACAATGTTATATTATATTATATAACAATAATATAGTATAACTTTTACATAATATAAATAACACACCCGTGAACTTCGCATAAGTATGATAAATTCAAACACATTCGGACGAGAGCAAGTGTTTAAAGAAATAGATTGCAAATTTTGAATAGAATAAGAATAATAATTTTTTTTTTATACGACTTAGAATGGCAAACAAGCTGGCGGTCCACCTGATGGTAAGTGGTAACCGTCGCCTATACACATGAGCAGTACTATGAACATAACAGAGTATGCTGTTTCGCCCATGATACCCCCCATGCGTTGCCATTCCTGAGGTTGTTATTCCTCTGTACCCAGTAAATTTACGCCATATCCCACCCTTCAAACCGAAACACAGCCATGCAAACACAGCTGCTTTACAGTTGAAACACGAATGGGACAGGGGTACCCAAGCAATCGACTTTTGTACAAAGTCTCCCTCTGGTAAAATGGTATTTGCACGAAATGTGGTACAAAGGTCTTAAATGGTGACTGAGCTCCACATTTCGCTTTATCTAAACGCATGCAAACTTTGTCTTAGCACATGTTAAGTAAAAATTTATCAATTACGTATGTCCAAATAATTATTATATAAATACATATTAATTGTTACATTGAATTAGTTAATTATGTAAACATTTAAAAATAGTCGTAAAGACTTATATACTAATAACAATAATACATTTAAATTTAAACAACAAATAATAAATCTCTTTATTTTCAGGTATATACCCATAGTTATATATATATATGTATGTATATATATATATATATATATATATATATATATATATATATTATATATATATATTATTTTTAAACATTAATTACAAAATGCAAATTTGAATTATTTCATTATAAAACCTTTCGTCGTCAGGTGTCGTCACAGTAAGGAATACAGCCTTTACAATATGATTACTTGTTGTCATTAATCTTTGATAAAATTTTGCCTTATAATTACGTAAAATAACAAAAAAATGAGTTAAAAAAAAGATTACAAATATGTACTTACCATCACGCCGTCGCCACCTGTCACCGGCAGCACGCTAATATCACACTGTACTATCACAGATGTCCACTGATTCCTAACTTGTCACTATGTATTAAAATGACGACCAAATCTGGGCTGTATCACAGTTTTTTTCTATAACACTTGCAATATACAAGCTGATGGTAAATGGTAACACATGGTATAGGTATAGGCACTATGTAAAACACTATGAAACAGGGCAACGAATAGCAGGCGCTATTCATCGACTTCAAAAAAGGAGATCCTCAATTCGATTCTAACTTTTATATGTTTGTCACCTCAGCACTCTAGTCATTTGTGAACCGATTTGGATTATTCTTTTTTTTATCTGAAAGAATATACTTACAGATTTTATGAGTGTATATATATATTTCTTTTTATAAAACTTAGAATGGCAAACAAGCTGACGGCCCACCTGATGGAAAGTGGTAACCGTCGCCTGTAGACATGAGCAGTACCATGATCTAAAAACTAAACTACCGAAAACTTTATACCAGAGGGAGACTTTGTACAAAAGTAGTTTGCTTGGCCACCTCTGTCTCATTCGTGTTTCTACCGTGAAGCAGTTGTGTTTGTATGGCTGTGTTTCGGTTTGAAGGGTGGGATATGGCGTGAATTTACTGGGTACAGAGGAATAACACCTGAGTCTTCAGGAATGGCATCGCATGGGTGGTATTATGGGCGAAACAGTATACTCTGTTATGTCCACGGTACTGCTCATGTCTATAGGCGACGGTTACCACTTCCCATCAGGTGGGCCGTCAGCTTGTTTGCCATACTAAGTTGTATAAAAAAAAAACTAAATTTTGATAAAATTCCTACAGAATCTTCTGTATCTAATAACAAATGATAAAAGAAACAAAATTGACCTTTTAAATAACAAAATAATGTTCCAAAACGATTCACAATTGACGGAGTCATAAAGTGATAAACGTGAGAAAAAACAACCGAATTTACTACCCACTTCTTTTTGAAGCAGTTTGACCTCACACTGTATGTATGTATATGTGTTTAACAAACGAACACAAATCACAAACTGCAATGTATGGGTCCATACACGAATTAATAAAAACCTGATAGTGTAACACTTTATTTTTGTATTTTAAGAACAATCACGTATCGTAAAAATCAGTACTCAGCATATAATTTCTCTTCCTCGATTGTTTATTTATATATAAAAATGATTGTTCGTTAAAATGTTCGTTAACATTATTTTATTTAATAGAAACAGGCACACAAATAGATAAATTAAAGATTTTTTTTTATTATACAACTTAGAATGGCAAACAAGCTGACGGCCCACCTGATGGAAAGTGGTAACCGTCGCCTGTAGACATGAGCAGTGCCGTGGACATAACAGAGTATACTGTTTCGCCCATGATATAATATATATAAAGAATATAAAATAAAAAAAAATAATCCCTTCCAAATGTACGTATAAAATGGTCAAAACTTGAAAAAGTATTTTTTTTTGTAGCTTTGTATAATATTCATTCATACTTTAAAGACATTACCCTCCTTTCTTGTGTAGTCGGATAAAAATATCATGTTATATTTATTACCGTATTTCGCTGAATAAGCAAGGTTGCATACAATGCAACGCGTGCTGTCTTATTGTCAACTGCAATTCTTCCGCAGTGTGTTTTTATTTTAATCTAGGCCATGGTTGTTACAGTCGTCACAATACGTCTATACTAGGCTTCTATATTCACGCCAAATCACTTGCGGGGTAGGCAGAGAGAAATGAGTGTCACACACCTTTATCCTAGCTTAGAACCGTTCTTTATGGCAGTCTATGGGGGAGGCGTATGTTCAGCAGTGGACGGACAATAGCTGAAATGATAAATGATGAATGCAATACACCAGATTAGGGGGGGAGAAGATTTGGGGACATTAGTCCCCATTGCTAACAAACCCTGTCAGGTCGACCTCCACGCGGTTCCCCCTGGAAACCATTGTGACTAATACTTGTCGCATTCGTCACGATTGGCTAACTGACCAGCTTACATGCTTATCTATCACCCCTCACTGGTGCCCCGCCAGCGTATACCAATAGCGCAGGCGGGGTTACCATTCCATTATCATTCATTAAAAAAAAAATACACCAGATCTAAGTTACCCCTTTATCTTATATTCGCGTATGGGGTCAGCTAATTCATTATACGTCGACCCATCGGGATCTCTTGTGCTTCCCCCTGCCTTATACCATCATTTCATAGATCCTATGTGTTACCCTAACGATATCCCGCGGTTTAAGATATCTGTAGTCCTCTGGCTCCGGATAAGCCGTTCCCAGTAGACTCATACTAATACTTAATTTTGGGTTAATATAGTATTCATATCAGCCTTTAACTGTCCACTGCTGGACATAAGCCTCCCCCTTGAGGGGTTTTGCCAGTAGTTGCCACGCTTGGCAGGCAGGTTGACAACCGCAGTTAGGCTTTTGAGATGTTTAAAGAGGGACGCTGCTGCCCATCCCTCGCCCTCCCTTAGTCGCCTCTTACGACACCCACGGGAAAGGAAGGGGTGGCCTATTCTATGCGAGGACCGCACGGCCCGGTCCATCTACAGCAGTCCCATTGCTACTAACTAATTTCTGTTACTAACAATCCCTTCTCACCTCGAAGTATCCCACAATTGCATCTAGCCCATCCCTCGCCCTCCCTTAGTCGCTTTTTATTCTTACGACATCCACAGTATAGTATTTTTTTTAGCAAAAACCATTAAATATTAAAATCATTTCCGCCAGGTCGGCTTCAAAGGCTACGGGCTGTCGCCCGCGCAGCTATCAGCGTCAGGCAACTTCACCTTCAGCGACGGTAGCACGTACACCATCACGCATGGCTCCGTCATCATCGCGGCCATCACCTCGTGCACCAACACATCCAACCCGAGTGTCATGCTCGGAGCTGGTGAGTTGATACTCGTAATGGAAAGGTAACCCTGCCCGCGCTATCGGTATACGCTGACAGGGCACCAGTGAAAGATGATGGATGACGATGAAAGCAGATCATTTGTCATGTACGTGATATCAAGAGCATTACGTGCGCTTTGCCTAAAGAACCTAAAGAAACCTCTTTACCCCCCTTTTGAAGAACCCCATGCTGTAGTCTCTTGAAAAAACCTCAACAGAGAGCTTTTTTAATGGGTGATAATGGAGTGGTAACTTCACTTGCGCTATCGGTATACACCGGCGGGGCACCAGTGAAGAATGATAGATGAGGATGAAGCAGGTCAGTTAGTCCATCGTGACGAATTCAACAAGAATTGTTCACGATGGTTTCCAGGAGGAAACACGTGGAGGTCGACTTGACAGGGCATTTTGCTAGCAATCAAACTCCCTTAACAATTCCTCTCCCCCCCCCCCCCCCATCGACAGAGCACTTATTCCATAACCAGAGCGTTTGTGGGAGGAAACATCTCTGAAACCGTGCTGTACACGACCATCTAGACTCTAAGGTATGGGAATCAACTCCCTTTTTTTATATCACAAAAGTGGCAATCAAGCATACAGCCCATCTGATTGTAAACGGTCACTGTAGCCTATGGACGCCTGCAACAGCAGGCGTGTCACGTGCGCGATGCCGACCCTGAAGAAACCTTAATGTACCCTTTTTGAAGAACCCCATACTGTAGTATCTTGGTGAAATCTCGACAGGGAGCTCATAACATTCGTTCATTCCGTTCCAGGTCTCCTAGCAAAGAAAGCTGTTGCCAACGGGTTGAAGGTCCTTCCTTACATAAAGACCTCGCTCTCGCCAGGATCCGGCGTGGTCACGTATTATTTGAGGGTATGTATGACTGATTTCTTTTTTGTTTTAGTTCAACCGTGACGTAAACTTAAAATAATATTATAAAATAATACACAGATTAAATTTTGTATGTATGTTTATTTGTATTATATAAAATACTAGAGATCCGCCCCGTCTTCGCACGAGTAGATAGATGGAAAAATAAATTATTTACTCTTTATTGTACCGTTTAAAAAATAAAACACGCACACACACACACACACACACACACACACACACACGCACATACATGCATACACACACACGCACGCACGCACACGCACGTACGCACGCACGCACGCACGCACGCACGCACGCACGCACGCACGCACGCATACACATACACAGACACGCGCACGCATATACACACACACACACACAGAGAGAGAGAGAGAGAGAGACACACACAAAATCAATTTGTGCGTTCTCTGTTTATCGTAACGGTTGACTGGTAGAGAATGCCATCAGGCATTGAGTCCACCCTGTACACATAATTTAATATGTGCAAAAGTAAAAATAAATAAATAAATCACATACAATACAATATAAAATTTATATATTTATGTGTATTTTATTATTATTGTGCAGGAATCCGGCGTGATCCCATATTTGGAGAAGCTGGGCTTCGACATCGTTGGCTACGGGTGCATGACGTGTATCGGCAACTCGGGCCCCATCGACGACAACATCGCCAACACCATAGAGAAGGTAACTATACAGTGAAATGACACAGTAGCCCACGAGATTGGCACATGAGCTGCGATAGGGGTGACACAATATAAACTGTGACACCCACGGTACAACCCATGTCTATAGGCACCAGTCGTCACTTTTGTTTAGAGATGAGAATATCTGATATTTATATATTGAGTTATTCTGTCGGATCTCTCTATTCATTACGAGTCCCCATTGCTATTAATACACCTTATTAGGTCGACCTCCACGTGGTTCCCCCTGGAAACCATCGTGACTAATTTATCGTTGAACTTGTCACGGTGAGCTAACTGACCTGCTTCATCCTCACCTATCATCACTCACTGGTGCCCCGCCAGTGTATACCGATAGCGCAAGCGGGATTACCATTTTCACCCATTAAAAAAGGAGGGTTTTTTTCATAAAGGATTAACCACAAGAGGAACCGCCTGGAGGTCGACCTAACATAATGGGGCTGTCAAACTCCATGGCTAACAATCCCTTTCCCCCCTGCCAGCGTATACCGATAGCTCAGACGGAGTAATTCCATTATCATTTATTAAAAAAAATCCGCTGTACTCTCGGTATACGCTGGTATGGGGCACCAGTGAAGTACATTGAAAATGAGGATAAAACCAGGTACCAAGATTAACATTTTTTGGAACCAACTCCAATTTGGCCTTAAATTGTCCAGAACGAGCTGGTGTGCTGCGGAGTGTTGTCTGGCAACAGGAACTTCGAGGGTCGCATACACCCGAACACGCGGGCCAACTACCTCGCCTCTCCATTGCTGGTCATAGCATACGCTCTAGCCGGCACCGTTGATATCGACTTTGAGACCCAACCTTTAGGTGAGTAGTACAAAATCTTCCTTTTTTTTATACTACTTAGAATGGCAAACAAACTGACGGCCCACCTGATGGAAAGTGGTAACCGTCGCCTATAGATATGAGCAGTACCGTGGACATAACAGAGTATACTGTTTCGCCCATGATACCCCCCATCCGTTCCCATTCCTGAGAACCCAGGTGTTATTCCTCTATACCCTGTAAACCCACCCTTCAAACTGAGACAGCAATGCAAACAACTGCTTTTAATAAAAAAATAATAAAAAATAATTAATAATATTAATTAATTTATTAATTTTAATTATTCCTCATATGGCGGAATTAACAGCTAATGGCGTTCTCTACCAGTCAACCATGAGGCGAGCAAAAAATTAAGTAGGTGGTGCATTTACTACTAAAATATAGTATAAATATTTTTACTACATATTGTAAATATATATATATATATATATATATATATATACTAGCGACCCGTCCCGGCTTCGCACGGGTTCACATTACATCACATCACATTAGAAACCTCTAAAATTATCAGTGTTCCTCCACAATATTATGCATGTATTATACATATAAAGCTTCCTCTTGAATCACTCTATCTATTAAAGGAAACCGCTTCAAAATCCGTTGCGTAGTTTTAAAGATTTAAGCATACATAGGGACGGACAGACAGCGACAGCGACTTTGTTTTATACTATGTAGTGATATATTGTATACATATATGTATATATAAAAATTGAAAAAAAAAATTAAGTTTGGGTAAAAATCAAAAGAGACATCTGGCAATACTGCACATTCGACTGAATAAATTGTTAAATGCGTAATACAATGTTTCAGGTAAACGTGCCGACGGCTCGCCAGTATTCCTCAGAGACATCTGGCCCACCAGGGCTGAGATACAGGAAGTCGAGAATCAATTCGTCATACCCGGCATGTTTAAGGAGGTACGGCCGTTTGTCACTGAGTTTATGACAATAAATCAGAATTTTTAAAAAAAATCATTACATGAGCTGTATAGGCAGAGCCCTTTGGGATAAACAGAACCCAAAAGGAGATTCACAATTCAGTTGTACCCACGAACGCTCAAGTTATGGAATGAGCTCCCTGCCGAGGTTTTCCCAAGAGATTACAGCATGGGGTTCTTCAAAACGGGGGTAAAGAGGCTTCTTCAGGATCGGCAACGCGCGCGTAATACCTCTGGTATTGCAGGCGTTCATAGGTTACGGTAACCGCTTACTATCAGGCGGGTCGTACGATTGTGGAATGCGGAAATGGCTGCAAATAGAGAAGAATGGAAGAGGAAAACATATTACGCCTACCACAAATAATAATTGGGACAAGGATAGGAGGATGGCCGGCAGCACACCTGCAATGCCGCTGGTGTTGCGGGTGATCATGGGCGGCGGTAGTCACTCACCATCAGGTGAGCCGCGTGCTCGTTTGCCCCCTGTGTTGTAAAAAAAAAATGGATGACGACTGTATGTGTATGTATGATTATGTTCGTAAAAAAATGTCCAAATCAATGCCTATTTAATGGGTAAAGAAGGAATGGTAACACCGCCTGTGCTGTCGGTATACGCTAGCGGGGCACCAGTGAGGGATGATAGGTAAAAAGGAAAGGGCAGGTTTGTTTTACAACACAGGGGACAAACGAGCATGCGGCTCACCTGATGGTAAGTGACTATCGGCGCCCATGATCACCCGCAACACCAACGGCATTGCGGGTGTGCTGCCGGCCTTTTAAATAGTCGGTCAATTAGCCCATCGTGATGAATACACCTGGAATTCAGCACGATGGTTTCCACGGGGACCACGTGGATGTCGTCCTGACAGGGTATATTGCTAGCAATGGGACTGGTAGTCCGCATTACTGGCATTCTCTTCCCCCCCCCCCACCACCACGTAATGTAACCCCACCTGTTCTGTCGGCCAGGTGTACGGCAAGATCGAGCAGGGCTCCCCCTCGTGGCAGGCGCTGGACGTGCCCCAGGGCAAACTGTACGGCTGGGACCCCAACTCCACGTACATCAAGAAACCACCATTCTTCGATGGCATGACCAGGGTGAGTCGACCGATTCTTTATTGTAGTTTTTTATAATTATTAGTTACTAGCGGCCCGTCCCGGCTTCGCACGGGTGGACATTTTTACAACATTTTAAAAAGTGGTCATTGTGACATAACGATAATAGTTGGACATATAGTGTCGAGAAGTTTTTTGTAGTTATCGATATTTTCTTCAATATTGTAGAACATACTTTTGTTCTATCACCAATAGTTTCCGCAGCGCACGCGACCAAAGATGTTTTATAGCATTTTTTTTACACCTCGAGTTACGTTACTAAAGTTTTAGTAAGGTTCCCTAATCTTTTCTAGCAATAAATATAGCCTATGTTACTCAGGGTGAATGTAGCTTTCTTATGATGAAAAAATGTTTGAAATGGGCAAAGTATTTTTTTTATTTCATTCATTACAAACATACACACAAAAATACAAATCTTTCCTCTTTATAATATTAGTGTAAATAAAAATTCTCTTTTCACCAAAAGGGGAAAGAAGGGGGGAGGTTTTGAATGTCCCTTCATCATCATCATCATTCCAGTCATTTGGCAGGGGACAGTTAAGTCCACTGCTGAACATAAGTTTTCCCCATAATGGGAGTTTTGCCAGTAGTTGCCACGCTTGGCAGGCGGATTAGCAACCGCAAGATTAAGAGATGTTTTAAGAGGGACGCTGCTGCCCATCCCTCGCCCTCCCTTAGTCGACTTTTACGACACCCACGGGAAAGGAACGGGGTGGCCTAATCTACGTCGGGTCCACACAGCCAAAAATATTAATATTGGATTCTAATATACTACCGGCGACATGTACGCATGTCGAGTGTTACATTGACCACAAAGGCCACAGTTGGCAGATGCCTCTGACTACCCCACTAGCAATTATAATTGTGAGCATATTTTTTTAACAAACGTGCAGGACCTGCCACCAATCCGCAGCATCAGGCAGGCCCGGTGCCTGCTACTGCTGGGAGACTCGGTCACCACAGACCACATCTCGCCAGCTGGATCGATCGCTCGCAACTCACCTGCTGCAAGGTTCCTCGCCGCCAGGGGGTGAGTTAATACCGCATCCTACACAGGGCATAAGAACGAAAACAAAGGGTTCTTCATAAAGGACCGTGCCATCAGACGAGCCGTATGCTTATTTGACATCATTATTGCTTGACCAGTGAATGATTAAAACCCTTCCAGCGATACCTTTTCTCAAAATAAGATGTTGCATAAAAATAAGTAATTTAGAAATAATAATAATAATACTTATTTATTTAAACAACATAAAGTCCATTTTGTTGGTTATTATTTACTTAACCTATGTTTTGATGGGTGAAAATGGTATGGTAACCCCGCCTGCGCTAACGGGGTACGCTGGCGGAGCACCAGTGAAGGGTGATAGATGAGAATGAAAACAGGCCGGTTAGCACATCATGATGAATTCATCAGGAATTAACCATGATAGTTTCCAGGGGGAACCGCGAGGAGGTCGACCTGGTTGGGTATATTGCTAGCAATGGGATTCTCAATCTCCATTACTAACAATCCCTTTCCCCCTACTTAACCTATGTTACTAAATGAGCGGTCAAGACACTCCTACATTGATAACCTGTCCCACCCAATATTTTAGGATGGGACTCCATTTTACTGGGATAAGAGAACAGATGAACATACATATGTACTGGTCAAAAACATAACCCTCCTTCTCGTTTCTCTGTAATCGGATAAAAAAGTAGTAATACATAACTGTTATATATGTGGGTAGTATTAAGTATGTACGGGTGGCTACGTCCACCTTTATAAGTCATTTGACCTTGTCAATTAAAACAGTGTGCAACCGACCTCTGTGTTCACTTGTCGCGTATCCAACTTCGCAATACACAATAATAGCTGTCTCTGAATAATATAAAAAAAAAACTCAAATTACACCTGTTCGCTTCAATTCCCAGTCTGACCCCACGGGAGTTCAACTCGTACGGTTCCCGGCGCGGTAACGACGCGATAATGTCCCGCGGGACTTTCGCCAACATTCGCCTGGTGAACAAGATGTCACCCACAGCCGGCCCGAGGACCACTCACCACCCCAGCGGCGACGTTATGGACATCTTCGACGCGGCAGACAGGTCAGTTTCGACATGAGTTTTTATACATTTTTCCTCGATCTCACATTGACCACCAAAATTATGGTCCAAAATTATACATTATAATTGGTCCAAAATTATAAATGGTCCCGGATAAAATCCACTTATTGAGAGTTTGCAACGGATTTGAAAGTGTTGCTCCATTTAATGTACTAAATAAAAGAAAACTCTTTATTGTTTCCTTCAAAGAATATTACAGATTATAAAGTTTAACAATTATTGTGTACATACAAACAAAATAAATAATTAAATACATAAATTTAATTACATGAAAACAACATAAAGTGGCAACAATGTGCAATCTAAAACATCAAAAGGAAATGTATAAATATTTCGATTAACAATATATTTTTTTAATTAATTATACACGACTCTCCTCCAGGAGTTACAAGAAGGAACTGTTTCTTTCTAAGCAACTGTACTAAATACAAATGTATGTGTGAAGGCCACAATTCTAATTAGTTCAACATACATTTACAATACACTCCATTTGCCTGTACAGAATTACTGCTTACCTACTTTGTTTTAATTTTGCTTTATAATATTTCTTAATACAGATACGCATCAGAGAACGTGCCTCTAATCGCCATCGTAGGTAAAGACTACGGGTCAGGCTCCAGCAGGGACTGGGCCGCCAAGGGACCATACTTGCTGGTAAATTCACTATTTCACTGTCGCCTATCAAAAAAACCTTATACCTTACTTAAAATACCTTAAAATACCTTACCATAACATATCAGCCGTTAACTGTAATCATCCCCCATAAGTAGGCATCCCCCATAAGGGGGGTTTTTGCCAGTAGTTTCCACGCTTGGTAGGCGGTTTGGCAACCGCAGTTAGGCTTTGATGATGTTTTTAAGGGGCGCTGCTGCCCATCCCTCGCCCTCCCTTAGTCGCCTATTACGACACCCACGGGAAAGGAAGGGATGGCCTATACTATGCCAGGACCAGATGGTGAAAAAAAATTACATTATGACAAGTCTAATTACCATCAATCGCCAAACTATGTCAGGCCTCTATATTGGGCCAATATCTGTATACTTTTTTATACAACTTAGAGGAAGCAAACAAGCTGACGGCCCACCTGGTGGAAAGTGGTAACCGTCGCCTATAGACGTGAGCAGTACCGTGGACATAACAGAGTATACTGTTTCGCCCATGATACCCCCCATGTGTTGCCATTCCTGAGTACTCAGGTGTTATTCGTCTGTACCCTGTAAATTCACTGTCATATTTTTTATTTAATTCAAAAAAGAAATAATTGTACCGACTGTAAATAACTGCTAAAAATGGAAATTTTAATTTATAATTTTTTGAAATGTTATTATGTATCCTATACAATGTATTTTGTGCTTTGAATAAAAATATAAATATAAATATAATATAAATAAATAACTATTATACCTATAATTACATGGGACAGATAAAGGAAACACTAGGTGTCATGTCGTATAGGGAGATAAAGGATATGGCCTGGGATAGAGCTGGCTGGAAGAGAATGCATGAATTAGTTGTACCGACAAGATTTTTTTTTTTTATACAACATAGAATGGCAAACAAGCTGACGGCCCACCTGATGGAAAGTGGTAACCGTCGCCTATAGACATGAGCAGTACCATGGACATAACAGAGTATACAGTTTCGCCCATGATACCCCCCATGTGTTGTCATTCCTAAGGACTCAGGTGTTATTCCTCTGTATCCAGTAAATTCACGCCATATCCCACCCTTCAAACCGAAACACAGCCATGCAAACACTACTGCTTCACGGTTGAAACACGAATGGGACAGAGGTACCCAAGCAATCGACTTTTGTACAAAGTCTCCCTCTGGTACAAGAGGAAACTCTTAAATGAAAAGAAATAATACTTATAACAATTATTACAATCCATCGCCAGGGTATCCGTGCAGTTATAGCGGAATCCTTCGAGCGGATCCACCGGTCCAACCTGGTGGGCATGGGCATCATGCCGCTGCAGTTCCTCCCCGGAGTGAACGCCGAGACCCTGGGGCTGACTGGCGCCGAGCAATACTCTGTCCAGGTGCCGGATAATCTATCGCCTGGCGACCTGCTGACTGTAGAGGTGAGATTATTGATTATATATATAAGCCATTGATTATTCATTATTGATTATTGAATATAGGCCTCCTCACCCTTGAGAGAGTTTTGCCAGTAGTTGGCACACTTGGTAAATGAGTCGGCAACTGCAGTTAGGCTTTGGTGATATTATATATAGTGCGTGCGTGCGTGCGTGCGTGTGTGTATGTATAAATAAATAAAAACCGTTAATAGCCCACTGCTGAACCTAGGCCTTCCCCATAAGAGGGTTTTTCCAATAGTTGACGCTGTTATCCAATCCATCGACTATTCAGTTCCCTTAGTGCCTCTTACGATACACGCGAGAAAGGAAGAGGTGGTCCATTCTACGCCGGGATCGCACAGCAAGCAAGGCGCTAACTCATAATTTCATTTCCAGGTGGACACAGGTAAATCATTCCAAGTGAAGGTGCGCTTCGATACAGAGGTGGACCTCACGTACTTCAAGAACGGAGGCATTCTAAACTACATGATCAGGAAGATGCTGTAGGAGTCATTGGAACGGTGACTTCCTATCATCCATATATCCTTGAATATATGTATGTAATATAATATATAAATCTATATATATTTACACCATTGTTGCAGTTATTCTAAATTTATGACATTTTTTTGTTGACGTATATCTGAATTTAGTAGTTTTTTTTTAATGTATATTATATACAAAATAAAGTCGTAATTATTAGCATTAAACGTGCTCAAAATTTTGTGTCCTTTTTCAATTCATATTAATTTGTAAAATGTATTTAATTTCACTAATAGAATACTTCGTTAAAAGAGTACTAGTAACTTCTACTTTAACCTGTATATGTATGTAAAATTAGCTAGTTTCAGTTAATATGCATTTCAATATTGATCCAGGCAAGCTAAAGGGATTTTTCTACGTGCATACGTTTTCTAATGCGTACTTAACAATATTTTTATTCAAATCCTGCAATAGAAGTTTGCAACTATAAAACGAATCCTGGTCACGGCACCATGTATTTACCATATTACTAATACACATACTACGCTATATGTTTAAAAGACAAATTATTAAAAAAATCACCATAAAATCAAATCTTAAGATTTCTAAAGTAAAGTTGTTCTCGCAAATTTTTCACAGTGGCCGCCATATTTTACTTTTTATAATATATAAAAACAATGGTGAAAATGGTACTTTTAATACGAATATATTTAAGTAATTGGGCGATTAAGAATGGTGACAGTGTAAAAAACATTATACTCTTAAGACTAAATAGGTTAAGCTCGGGTGGATGTAACGGAACTAGGCGTTGTGAGAGCTACAATGTGGGAAAGAGAACGCAATATCAATATGGAGAAATAACAGGGTTTTATAGCTAAGTCTAATTGTTTGATGGGTAAACGGAACTGGCGTTCGATGAAAACACCCGTTTAAGATTATTTACAATGTTAAATAAATAATAAGAATGCTTAAAAATTAATAAAATTATTTGCGAGTGTTCTACATTGTACATCTGAACATTTTCCCCAAGAAACAAGCTCGGAGCTATTTTTGTCTCAAAAATATACATTCGATGCCTTTATGTGATAATGTAATAATCCAAAATTCAAAAAAGAAGCAAAGAGGTTTCTTCAGAGTTGGCAACGTGCACTATGTCCATAGTATTGCAAGCGTTCATAAGCTACAGTAACCCTTCCATCAGGTGGGACATATGCTTGTTTACCACTGAAGTGGTATAAAAAAATCGTCGATTGTATCTTTACATTCAGATATTGCGTTTTTTAACATGTTGTACTGATTTATATAAAATGGTACTATTATTTAAAATATACATATTTTAATATATACGTAAAAAGTCATTCTGGACTTGGGCGGTATTATAATTTACTATATGACAAAATAAAATGGAATAAAGCAATACCTCATAATTACGCGATAGTTAGGGCTGGACAATCACCGCGTAAGTCGAATTCGCGTAAGTCGGGATATAATTGTTTAACACCTGTGAGCTCCTGACTTCTAATTATGGATCCATTTCACGAGACAAGTTCGGATATACTCATTAGCTTAACATAATGTAGATAAAATGAGTAATCTAGATTTGTTTAGCGTTCAAACGATAAAAGCGACGAGATTTGATGATCGCGTAATTTCGGATTCGCGTAATTCCGGATTCGCGTAAGTCGAATTCGCGTAAATCGGGGTATTACTGTATAAATATACGCAGACCCTTTTCCGTGACAATATAGCGACGGAAATGAACTAAAAGCATCTCTCTGAAATTCCGTATATTTTATTCTTTTCTTATATTATTTAATTCATACGATATTGTATCGTGCTATGGTAAATTACAAAACAGCCCAAGTCTAGTTAGAACAGATACAAGTTCAAACCAAATATAGATTACCTTAATATTGTTTAAAATCAAAATTAACTCATTTATCTTTTATCTCGCTTACACTTTTGATTTCTAATAAAAAATGGCGATGCAACGATGGGTTATTTTTTACATTTAATATTTATTCATCAAGAACAAGTTATTAACCTTTTGTTTTCAAACTACTATCTCTATTTGGTTTATTCTTGGTCTAAGATATTTGGCACAGACATGGCATTTTTGTTTATGGTGACAGTTATAAATGTTATTCTTTATCTAATGTTTATTTGTAAGGACATATTCAAATAAAGTATTTTGTTATACACATTTTTGGTTTTATTAAAATACCCCTGATTAATCTTGGAATTAATAATTCTCTTATTTGTCACCTCTTGGTGACAAAGTTTTTGACAGTTATAAACTGTCAAAAACTTATCTTAGCCGCCATATTTGTTACAAAATATTAGCTTTTTGCCCCTTTCTTCATACGCTTAGATTTTAGAAGAAAAATCAATGAATAACACTAGTTCTAAATGGCGTATTAAGATAAAAGATATGCTAGTTTTGAAACTAGATCTCAAGTTAGGAACACAATTGTCAAAACCGCAAAAGTCGTTTGCTTGGACACCTCTGTCCCATTCGTATTTCTACCGTGAGGCAGTTGTGTTTGCATGGCTGTGTTTCGATTTGAAGGGTGGGAAGAATGGCAAACAAGCTGCAATACCCAAGCAAATGACTTGTATAAACTCTCTCTCTCTGGTATTCCTAACTGTTGTTTCATGAGCGCAGTATAAAATTGTCATTGGATCAATAGATTGGATTGATTATTGATGATTGGATCAAGAGTAGAGCTGCTGGTGATATGCTGGTGAATATTTCATCTCGACACGCCATCTAGAAGTGATCTCTTCCATTGGTTATCCCACTGTTTAAACCCCCGCGTATAAAGTAGCGAACAAAAAGCTTGTTCCTTATTATTTTGACATGAAGCTGTTACAGATTTAGTTCATATTCATACTTAAAATAAAGACTTCACTGTAATATCAAGTTGAAATTTCAATTTAGACAGGTTAATAGAAAATAGAGCGACTAAAAATCGACCCTATTTCATTCTTGCTCGTCACTGCCACAAATTTTTTTTTAATGGGTGTAAATGGCATGGTAACCCCGCCTGTGCTATCGGTGTACACTGGCGGGGCGCCAGTGTGGGATGAAAGATAAATCGTGACGACTTCAACGATAAATTAGTCACGATAATTTTTTTTGATGGGTGAAAATGATATGGTAACCCCGCCCGCGCTAACGGGATACTCTAGCGGAGCACCAGTGAAGGGAGATCGATGAGAATGAAAACAGGCCAGTTGGCCCATCATGATGAATTCATCAGGAATAAACCATGATAGTTTCCAGGAAGAACCGCGTGGAGGTGGACCTGATTGGGTATATTGCTAGCAATGGGATTCTCAGTCTCCATTACTAACAATCCCTTTCCCCCCAATCGCGATAGTTTCCAGGGGTAACCGCATGGAGATCGACCTTATAAGGAATATTGATAGCTATGGGGACTAACCTATCCATTACTAACAATTCCTTCCCTCCATTGTCACAGATTAGATAGATTAAAATCTAACGTCATCCCTTTCTTTCCTGTGGGTATTGTAAGAGGCAACTAAGAGAACATGATGCTCGAAGGATGGGCAGCAACGACCCTAACCAAAACCCTAACGAAAACATAACCAAAGCCTAACTGGAGAGAAAGTGTTTGTAAACAATGAGGATGTAATTGCTCCATTGCTAGCAATATACCCTATCAGGTCGACCTTCACGCGGTTCCTCCTGGTCCATTTTGTTTAATTCTTATGGAATTTAACACGATGGGCTAACTGACCTGCTTTCATTCTCACTTATCATCCTTCACAAGCGAGGCAACCATTCCATTATGATTTATTAAAAAAAAGCCTAACCTGCCTGCCAAGCGTGGCAACTACTGGCAAAACACTTCAAGGGGAGGCCTACGTCCAGCAGTGGTCATTTTTTTTTTATACAACTCAGAATGGCAAACAAGCTGACGGCCCACCTGATGGAAAGTGGTAACCGTCGCCAATAGACATAAGCAGTACCATAGACATAACAGAGTATACTGTTTCGCCCATGATACCCCCCATGTGTTGCCATTCCTGAGGACTCAGACGTTATTCCTCTGTACCCTGTAAATTCACGCGATATCCCACCCTTCAAACCGAAACACAGCCATGCAAACACGACTGCTTCACGGCTGAAACACGAATGAGACAGAGGTACTCAAGCAATCGACTTTTGTACAAAGTCTCCCTCTGGTATAATAATGACGATGTTTAAAGTCACTGCACGGATACAACGTAACAAATATTAGTAAACAATACTTTAAAATCAATGGAATTCGATACAAAAATAACATTTACAATAACAACTTGTTTACTTTAATCATACAATACTTGTTTGCATTTTATTTAAAAATAAACAACCAATCATTGCTTACTATAAATTAATTCAACACGAATCATTACTTTTCACAAACAGTTATGTTACGAAGTAAATTGCAATATTTAGAACGAAATATTTTTGACAGTTCCCGAAGTGATTTCCCGCGCTTTTGTATCTGTTTCTTTTTTTTTTTCTTTTACTGATCACTTTTTATGATGGATGAAAGAAGAATTACGAAAGAGATTTATCGAGCAAGAATGAATGGAGATGTCGGTAGGGGCCGCTCTAGACGGACGTATGTCGACCGAATAGGCGACGTGCTGAAGAAGGGCCAAATTAAAAGTACCCGTAACCGGCGAGCGTGTATGAAAAGATTGATGAATGTGGAGGAAACGAAAGAGGTTTATTTGAATCGAAGCATTTGGCGTTCCATTGTTTCTGTCTACCCTAATGGGAGACAGGCGTGACAGATATGTATGGGTAATTCTCATGAAATCCCGAAATTACCTATTAATAAATTAATGAAAATTGTTTGAATTAATTGATCTTCATTTTCTCTTAAATTTATATTATTCATGTAATTAGGAGTGAAAAATATCGTGGTCCCCAGAATAAATGAGTTTTGAACGAATTTATGAACCCTTAAAATATTTAAATGTGAGGGAATGATGACTGAGGTGAGGAAATGATGTTTATATTCATTGCTCATATGAAATCGTATCATTTATTTTTTAAATACATTTAGAATTCTACTAGGTTATATTAACTTAAAAATTCGGAAGTAACATGTACGAAAATCGAGTTGATCCAGTCTGAAAGTAATTACCTCATAAATCATCATTCCCTCACTTTTATTCAAAATGAGGGAATGATGACGAGGGAATGACAAAATAAACCATAACCTAAAAAATCTCGCAACATAACCTCTTGTTACCATCTAACTGTTTTCTCTACACTTTCTACCTCCAAAAACATACTTTACTACTTCATCAAAATTCAAATATTTTAATTACCTTGTTTATTCTACACTGTGATGGAATGATTGTTTAAAATATAATCTTTACAAAATTTCATGGATATTTATTTCCAACAAGTACTCTAGCAAGCGTGAGGTCAATTCACCATTCCGAACAAGTGACCGTACTACCAACTATCAAAAACTAATGATAATGTTATTGAAGTCATCATAAATATACCTACTTATCGACTGTTGATAATGATATGAGGGAATGATTATTTTTCATGGGACACATGTTGAGTCAACATTAGAGAACTTGTTGATGATTTATGATCTTAAATTCAGAGAAATTTTAAAAAGTTGTTGTATTTACAAGAGACTAGCCATAATTACAAACAGATTTTTTGAGAAATTTTCTATAATAACTTCATACAATGTTTTAATCTGTAGTTTGGGACATAGTGAGGGAATGATTTTCAATGTACTATATATTTTTTATTCCTCATAAATGCCCGTACGATTCCAAAGTTATTACCAAAATTTTTAGCCTTCATCATGTTCTTTCTGAAAAAATAAAATACTAAGTCTGTTAAGTTTATTGTAAAAACTACTAGGACTGGAATTTCGAGATTTCATGAGAATTACCCGTATGTATGTATGAATTTTTATTGTTTATTTATTTGGACGACCTAGTTAATTAAATGCTATTATAAAATTAACAAAATGTACTATTGTAGACTTTTAAATAGTATTTTTAATGAAATATAAAAATAATGTTAAAATTTAATCCGTCTGCAATTATTTGAATAAAAAAAAGCTTTTAAAACTATTTTACTCTGTATACCGATCGTTTAAAACCTAAGTTTTTTTTTTTATTATTTACAAATAAAAGTAATAAAGTAACAACTTATAATGCTATGCGTATTATCAATTTTATTGGTCACATCTGCAACTTGCATGGACACCATCACACAAGACTTGGTAACACCATTGAAGTATATGGGAGAAGCCTGTGGATATGAGGTAAGCATTTTCATGCAATTCGAATTTGAAGTTGGAAATGAACCATTACTGTCCGCCTGATGGTAAATGATAAATAACTCATGGGCTTTTTTTATTAGATGACAATGGAATGGTAACCCATTCTGCGTTAACGGTATTCGCTGGCGGGGCACCAGTGAAAGATAGGTGAGAATGAAAAGGTAGGTTAGTTAGCCCATCGTGATAAAGTCAACACGATGATTTTGACCTCCACGTGGTCTCTATTTGGAGGTCAACCTGATAGGATGTATTACTAGCAATGGGTCAGTTAGACTCCATTACTAACAATCCCTTTCCCCCCTACTCATGGGCTATGACCGTTCGCAATATCAAAGGCAGTTTTTTTTTATAGGTGAAAATGGTATGGTAACCCCACCTGCGCTAACGGGATACGCTGGCGGGACACCAGTGAAGGGCGATAGATGAGAATGAAAACAGGCCAGTTAGCCCATCATGATGAACTTAGGAATTAACCATGATAGTTTCCAGGGGGGACCGCGAGGAGGTGGACCTGGTTGGGTATATTGCTAGCAATGGGATTCTCAGTCTCCATTACTAACAATCCCTTTCCTCCCTATCAAAGGCATTATACACTAGTTGTTTTTTATAGAAAAAAAAAATCTTTATATTAAATTATATAATCACTACATATATATATTTCTTTTATTTCAGAGTTGTCCAAAAATTAACCCCAATATACTGAATGTCCACATTGTCCCCCATACTCACGGTGAACTAGGGTACACCCATACCTTCTACGAGTATTACACTGGCTGTGAGTATTTACATTTATTTAATTATTGATGTTGGGAGCAGGTTATTGAAGTAAAAACAACAGGAGTATATCTATAATGTATGTATTTTATAAAGACTTACAGAGCGCGTACGGCATGATCGGCGCTTGCGAAAAGAGGGGACGAGAGAGAGAGAGATATATATCTATTACTTTTGCTCATTCACGTTTCATTACACATAACAATTATTTATTATTATTATATGTATTATCCCCAAGTGGGATGCTATCGATCTGTTAAGCGACGTTTCGTTTAAAACAGGAGGTAACAAGAGAGTACTAAAATTATTTCATGTACCTTATTGTAATAAAAATGTAACGTTTAATGATCCTCTCTTCCGCATGTGCGGACTGTACAATAGTTGTAATGAATTGGACATTTTTTTTTATACAACTTAGAATGGCAAACAAGCTGACGGCCCACCTGATGGAAAGTGCTAATCGTCGCCTATAGACATGAGCAGTACCGTGGACATAACAGAGTATACTGTTTCGCCCATGATACCCCACCATGCGTTGCCATTCCTGAGGACTCAGGTGTTATTCCTCTGTACCCTGTAAATTCATTGCCATATCTCCACCCTTCAATCTGAAACAACTATGCAAACACAACTGCTTCACGGTAGAAACACGAATGGGACAGAGGTGTCCAAGCAAATGACTTTTGTGCAAAGTCTCCCTCTGGTAGAGTGTTCAAACTTTATCTTTTTAACAGCGATATTGCTTCGCAAGTCGGTAGGTAAAGGGTTTACTAATCGCTGTACAAGATAGGCAAGGTTTTATGAGGTATTAAGATTTGTCCGATTATGCTGATGTTTTTTTTTTGTTTTTAGACGACGACTTCTACGAGAAGAGCCAAATCAACATGAAAAGAATATTAGATTACACAATAACGGAATTATGGTCGAAGGAGACGAGAAAGTGAGTTCGTGCTAGTTTCAGTTCGGCAGTTCGTGCCTAGCTTTAGTTCGACAGCTTGCAATTGGTAGCTAGCAGCTAGCTACCAATTACAAGCTGCCGGTGCGCCTGATGGAGAGTGGTGACCTATACACGTGGTTATGGGACGGTACTATTTACGTGTACAGGCAACGGATGGAGAAGATCGACTTCAAATAATTAAAGAAGTACATAAAATTGATTTTTTATGCAACTTAAAATGGCAAACGAGCTGACGGCCCACCTGGTGGAAAGTGGTAACCGTCACTTATAGACATGAGCAGTACCGTGGACATAACAGAGTGTACTGTTTCGATCATGATACCCCCTATGCGTTGCCATTCCTGAGGACTCGGGTGTTGTTCCTCTGTACCCTGTAAATTCACTGCCATATCGCACCGTTCAAACCGAAACACAGCCGTGCAAACACAACTGCTTCACAGTTGAAACACGTATGGGACAGAGGTGGTCAAGCAAACGACTTTTGTACATTATTTTTCAAATCAAATTTTCCAAAATTGTTTGCTATTGACAGAGTTATGAGGTAACAAACATAAAGAATACAATTAAATTCAAACCTTCCATCTTTGCAATCGGTTGAAAAGGAAAAAGCTCTGAATTTGCTTGTACTTTTTTAAAGCTTGTTACTTATCAGAGGGAGACTGTACAAAAGTCGATTGTTTGGGTATGGCTATCCTATTCGTGTTTCAACTGTAAAGCAATTGTGTTTGCAACGCTGTGTTTCGGTTTGAAGGGTGGGATATGGCGTGAATGTACTGGGTACAAAGAAATAACACCTGAGTCCTCAGGAATGGCACGCATGGGGGGTATCATGGGCGAAACAGTATACTCTGTTATGTCCATGGTACTGCTCATGTTTACAGGCGACGGTTACCACTTCCCATCAGGTGGGCCATCAGCTTGTTTGCCAAGTGTTTGTCTAAGTTGTATAAAATAAATCATAACTCCGTCATTTATAAAACGATTTGCATTTTTTTTACCAATAGATGGTAATGGAACAATACCCCACCTGCGTTATCGGTATACGTAAGTGAGGCAACAAAGAGGTCAGTTTTGTAGTGTACAATTTCCCAGAAATAAATCACGTTGGTTTCCAGCTAGAACTGCATGGAGATCGACACGGATGATTACAGGGTACATTGCTAGCAATAGGTCTCTTAGATCCCTTTACTAACAATTCCTGCCCACTCTGTGTTCCCAGTAACGCAACGAATACTAACTACTTAATACATAGTTTATATAATAGTTTCCAACATTGTTCTTGTATCTTTATTTAATTAATACATTAAATTTGCGTGCATTAAATTTTAAAGCAATTAAACAGATGCCAAAAAGTTCTGTCACAAACCTTTTATTATGTTAAATGTCTATTTAAAGCAAAGAAATATTTCATTTCATTCAATTTTATTCAATTTCATTAAATTTAATTCCATTTAATTAAATTTCATTCAATTTAATTCCATTTAATTAAATTTCATTCAATTTAATTTCATTCAATTTTATTAAATTTCATTAAATTTCGTTCAATTTCATTTCATTTTATTTCATTTCGTTTCAACTCTGTTTATTCCGTAAACAATTTAGTACTCCCAAATGCAATCTGCATTTTATGCATTAAAAATATTTACAATTACTTCTTACATTTTATTCCCCAGGTTTACGTTCTCGGATATGCCGTACTTCTTCCGCTGGTGGGCGAACAGAGATGGCACGGGTTAGCTAAACTGACGTTATAATAATCTAGCTAAGTTCTTAATATCAATATCATATAAACATAAATATACTGTGTCTCTCGCCATGTACTCCCGGCACAGGATGGGCCATCTCTTCCTTTCCTGTGAGTGTCGTAAGAGACGACTAAGGGAACTTCATAATCGAGGGATAGGCAGCGGCATCCCTCTTCAAACATCTCTAAAGCCTAACTGCGGTTGTCAATCCGCCTGCCAAACGTAAAAACTAATAGCAAGTCCCCAGATGGGGAGGTCTATGTTCAGCAGTGGACAGTTAAGAGTAAATATGATGATGATGATTATTCTTAGTTGCCAACCTGCCTGCCAAGTGTGGCAACTATTGGCGAAACCCCAAGGGGGAGGTTCATCTTCAATAGTGGGCAGTCAACGGCTGATGTGATGATATTTTTTTTAGTTGCCAATTTGCCTGCCAAGTATAGCAACTACTGGTAAATACCCCTCATGGGAGAGGCCTATGTTCTGCATTGAATAGTTAACGGCTGAAGCAATGATGAATGTTATCTACCATTTTTTTTCTTAGTGAGTGATAATGGAATGGTAACCCCACCCGCGCTATCGGTATACACCGGCGGAGCACCAGTGAAGGATGATAGGTGAAGATGAACCAGGTCAGTTAGCCCATCGTGACGAATTCAACAAGAATTGTTTACGACGGTTTCCACACGGAACCGTCCGAAACACGCGGAGGTCGATCTAATAGGGTACATTGCCAGCAATTAGGCTGTCAAACTCCATTGCTAACAATCCCTTTCCCCCCGGTTATCTACCATCAGGTGGGCCGTTAACTTGTTTACCATTCTATCTACCAATTAAAATAATATACAGTCCGCCGCATGGTGTACGAGCTGCTCCGCCAGGGTCGGCTGCACTTCGTCGGCGGCGGCTGGAGCATGAGTGATGAGGCCACCACCAGCTACCACGCCATCGTCGACCACTTCACATACAGCCTCAGGTTGGCACTTATTCCTTACTCTGCATTTGAAATCACAGGCTACAGAGGCACATCTTAGATCAGGGAGGGGGGGAATGAATTGTTAGTAAGTCAAGTATTAATAATGCAATTTGGAAGGAGGAAAGGTCTTATAAAATATTGCGTTATAGGGGAGGGAGGAGAATTCGAAGAACGTGTTACGTATTTTTTTTTATTTAAATAAAAAAACTACTTAATTATAAATCTCCCAATTTTTGGGGAATACCTTAATTTAAAAAAAAAATTGCGTTCCGTATTATTTGAACGCTCCCTAATGAGGTCTAATAGCTCTATTGCTAACAATATACATTGACAGTTTGAAGTCCACATCTTTGCTTTTGGAAAATATTATGGTTAATACTTAATGAGTTTTGTTTTGTTTTTTTTTTGTAGTGAAAATGAAATAGTAACCCCGTCTGCGCTATCGGTATACACTGGCGAGGCACCAGTGATAGATGATAGGTGAGAATGTAAGGCAGTTACCGCATCGTGACGAATTCACAAGAATTAACCTGATAGTTTTCAGGGAACCGCGTGGAATTCTTTCCCCCCCCCCCCCCTCTACTTAATGAGTTCGTCACGATGAATCAATTTATCTGACGTCAATTTTACGGTTGTTTTCAACAAATTCCAAAATACATCTCTGTAAATTATTGATGCCCATTAATTCTTCTCTTTCCGCGTCTAGGGAAAGTAGATAAAGTTCTGTTTGAGAAATCAGTTCAGGGTACAATAGGACTGATATACCTGAAAAAGGTAAAAGCCCTTAAAATAATATAAAAAAAAATGGCCGCAACCACAAGATGGCGGACGGTGTATGTATGTATAATAAGTTGTAATTTTATGGAGGTAACAATAAAGAGTAAACACTGTTAATATGGGTATCAAATGAAAGAAATTGAAGAGTGGGTAACGATAAAGTAAAATAAATGACATCATTTTAAAATGGCCGCATCCACAAAATGGCGGAATACTGTTTAAAACATATTTTTTATAACGTTATTGAACACACTTGATTTCTTTTTATGTAGGAAGATTAACGCTACGTTTTTGGACTGCGGTCGACCATTGGTGACGTGGCAAGCTGACGTCTTCGGTCATACCCGGGAGTTCGCGTCTCTGATGGCGCAGATGGGCTTCGATGGACACTTCGTGAGCCCCATCAGCTATGACGACGAGCTGGCACGCATGAGGAGGAATGCGCTGGAATTTGTTTGGAGGGGAAGCGATGATTTAGGTAAGGAGCAGACAAAATTTGGACAATATGTCATATATATATATATATATATATATATATATATATATATATATATATATATATATATATATATATATATATATATATATATAATACCGTCACATTACTTTGAGTCCATTCAACCACGCCAAAGACCTTTCCTATGACGAAGACGATCTAGAAACTCTTGCCAGCAGAGGGCGCTTACGTTATAGTGGTATCTATTACTTCCAGGTGCGGAATCGGACATCTTCACTCACAAACTGTTTGACGGCTACTGGTCTCCCCCAGGGTTCTGTTTCGGAGGGTTGTGTAATGATCCACTGATTGTCACCTCGGATAGTCTCTTCAAGAATATTGACGAGAGAGTGAGTTTACCAACTTATCAAAAAAAGACAGTGGACATAGACAGTAGCATCATACCTCATTGTTGTAAATTCCACCACACCTCGTTTTTATACCACGTATCCTCTTGTACCTTCATCTATACATCTCGCTGCATTTAAACAAAAACACATTTTTGGTATTAATTTTTTTTTATCTCTACAATTTTGCTCATTGCTGCTCATGTAATATCTTTTATATATATATATATTATTTTCTATAAATTGTTATTGTACATAAATCTTGCTTATGCCATGTGATCCTGGAATAAAATAGTCCACCCCTTCCTTTCCCGTGGGTGTCGTAAGAGGCGACTAAGGAAGGGCAAGGGATAGACAGCAGCGTCCCAGTTAAAACATCTCCGAGGCTTAACTGCTGTTGCTAACCCGCATGCCAAGCATAGCAACTACTGGCAAAACTCTCCAAGAGAGAGGCTTATGTTCAGCAGTGGACAGTTAACCCTTCTTTGCATGATTTTTTTTTATCGGTGAAATAAATCACAGTGATATAATTCATGTTCAAAATTAAAGGAAAAATGGTTACAGAAATAAATTTGACAGCTATGTTTTTTTTTTTTCTGCAATGGACATTAAAAAGGTATCCAGACACGATCAATTTAAAGTAAACTTGTTCTTTTATATAATTTTTAAGCATTCAATGTTATGATGGAAATTTCCACCATTATGTAAAGAAGGCTTAACGGTTCACAAAATGACAAAAAATATATAAACTTGTTCTAAACAGCCGATTGCTTTCTAGACAAACGAATTCTTCCGGAGTGTCCTCCATCGTCAAGCGCCGTATTACAGCACCAACAATATCATGGTGATGATGGGGCAACGCCTCGGGTACTTCGACGCGAGCGTCTGGTTCGCCAACATTGACAAGTTAATTGAGTATGTTGCGTTATATATTAATACACCTAGATAATGTAAATGGCGGACTTAACACAATATGGCGTTATCTACCAGTCGACCGTAGACAGAAATAAGGGAAAATATAATTGACAGTGCAACGTGATGAACGATGTTAAATTACAATAATAATTTTAAAAAAAGGAAGCAAAATCCTTTATAAGAGAGTCGAGTCTGCGCATTGCGGATAGGGGCCATAATCGCCGTTCCGGTTCGTATCTGGCTCAAAGGATACCTCTGGCGATTCAATGCGGAAATGCCGCAAGTGTCATGTGGACCTTTGGGTCGGGTACGAATCATGAATGGGACTCATCATTATTTTTTTTTGTGGTACTGTGAAATGTATTAGTTTTATTAAATGTATTATTATTATCTTATAATATAATCTATAATATAATAGAGAGAGTATACCCAACAGAATACACAAAGAGGGTTGACGTCAAGCAGGCGGCCGGTCGTAAAACTAAAAACCAAGTCTTTTTGTAATATGGACAAAATCATATTACGCCGACCGCAAATGATTGGGATAAGGGTAGGAAGATGATGATTATGATGATGATAATCTATAATATATATATATATAATAATTAAAAAAGACTAGAATATACTCTTAATGTAACATTATTTCAATATTTTTTTTTTATTTTGCTTGCAGTCACGCCAACAACTATACCTTGAATGGCGCCAGGCTGAACGTGTTTTACTCGACCCCCGCTTGCTACTTGAAAGCCGTGCATGACGCTTAGTAAGTTACTATAATAAATGCTATACAGTCACACCAATTCCAAACTAGGTGATCTCTCCCACCAACAGTGTTTCCGAATAGATACGACATTGAAATCTTTAAGAAAAGAGCATATTCCTCTCTAAAAGGCCGGCAACACATCTGCAGTTCCTCTGGGTGGAAAGGGATTGTTAGTAATGGAAACTGAGAATCCCATTGCTAGCAATATACCCAACCAGGTCCACCTCCTAGCGGTTCCCTCTGGAAACTATCATGGTTAATTCCCGATGAATTCATCATGATGGGCTAACTGGCCTGTTTTCATTCTCATCTATCAGCCTTCACCACCGTACAACCCGCCATAAACTAAAATTTCATCCCAACCATCTGGACGGGTGGCGGTCCTCCACCGTGCGTTTTTCAAGGCACTCTCTCCCACGCACAACCACTCTTTGGTATCAACTTCCAGCAGCAGTATTTCCGAACCGATACGACAACATAACCTTCAAGAAAAGAGCATATTCCTTTTTAAAAGGCCGGCAGCACACCTGCAATGCCGCTGGTGTTAAGGGTGACCATGGGCGGCGGTAGTCACTTACAGTCAGGTGAGCCGCATGCTCGTTTGCCCCCCTGTGTTGTAAAAAATAATTCTCGCCTTCAAAAAAAAACTTGGGCGACGGTAATTGCTCACCAGCAAATGAGCCATATGGTTATTTTTCCCATATATTATAAAAAAGCAAATGAAATAAATTATTTTTTTCATTCTTTATTGTACACTAAACATAATATTTTTAAACGTAACGTACAGAGGCGAGCTTATCTCTAATAAGAGATTTCTGGGGGGAAAGGGACTCTTAGTAATGGGGTCAAATAGCCCCATTACTAGCAATATATCCTGTCAGGTCGACCTCCACGTGGTTCCCCCTGGAAACCATCGTGAACAATTCTTGTTGAATTCGTCACGATGGGCTAACTGGCCTGCTTCATCCTCACCTATCATCCCTCACTGGTGCCCCGCCAGGGGTTACCATTCCATTATCTCCCATTAAAAAAAAAATAAGAGATTTCTTCCAGCAAACCTTTTCATGTGAATTGGATGTAATTTTAAAAAATAAATATAGGCAGTCATACGATCTGCGTACATTTGTATAAACACACAAGATATGTATACACAAAGAATAATACACACTACACATGTATATATAAATATATACATACATATATACACATATACATGCACCTAAACAAAATTAATGTTTAATTTCTTAAACTTAAGTACATAAAAGCAAGGTAGAGAGGCAACAATGGGCGGCCTTATTGCTAAACAGCGATCTCTTACAGGCAACCTTAGAATTGATTGATCATCTTAAATATTTCTGTTTCCTATACACTCGTATCAATACTAGATTTTGCCCGCGACTTCGTCTGCATGATCTTCTGATCTACATTTACATACCTGGATGAAAAAATAGTATATTTTCTAAATTGGTCCAACAAAGAATCGAAATCCTCACTTCCCAATACAATAAATCCACTGCAGCGTCTCGGAGGTCGTTATTTACATCCCCCCCCTCCCTCCCTCGCTTACATATGCCAATGAACTAACAGAGATGTACCCACAGTCCCCAGCTCCCGAGCAAGCAAGACGACTTTCTACCATACGCGTACGACTCGGCCACATATGCTACTGGTTCGTACACGTCGCGACCCACCATCAAGTTCATGACTCGAGAAGGGCACCTTTATTTACAGGTATATAATATATGACATGACATCCAGAGGAAGACTTTGTATAAAAGTCGATTGCTTGCCCACCTCTGTTCCATTCGTGTTTCTACCGTGAAGCAGTTGTGTTTGCATGGCTGTGTTTCGATTTGAAGGGTGGGATATGGCGTGAATTTACAGGGTACAGAGGAATAACACCTGAGTCCTCAGGAATGGCAACGCATGGGGGTATCATGGACGAAACAGTATACTCTGTTATGTCCACGGTACTGCTCATGTGTATAGGCGACGGTTACTAGTTTCCATCAGGTGGGCCGTCAGCTTGTTTGCCATTCTAAGTTGTATAAAAAAATAAAATAAAAAAAAAGATGTGGTGAGTGCGAAAGCGAACCCATGTCTCCGACATATGGCACCTCGAAGGTATATTGTCTGGTTTTTGGTGGGTACACCTCCACCTTACGGGGGGATTCCCACAGTACCCATTCACCTCGCACAAGGTGCATGGGTCTGCATAAAGTATTTTTTAGACGTTAAAAAAAAATGGGTAGTAGCGTCCCTCTTAAAGCATCTGTAAAAGCCTAAATACCGTTGCTAATCCACTTACCAAGCGTGACAACTACTGTCAAAGCTCTCCTTATGGGGAAGGCTTACGTCCAGCAGTGGAGAGTTAATGGCTGAAATTATAATAAAATAATTTAGTATATAAAATAATATAACTGTTCTTGCCCCATTTAAAGTCGGTTTTTGTCAATCTTTATATATTTTTCTTTTAATTATCAAATTTTTCCTCGTGCCTCCCACCAAACTGTTTATAATTACTCCTCTCCATCCAAAGGTTGCCTGCAAGAGATCGCTCTTAGCGATAAGGTCGCCCATTGTTTTCTCACTGTGATTATTTCTTGTAATTGTTTATATTTATAATAAGTTTACTATTGTAATCTTTTGGAGGAAACAATAAAGAGTGTCTATCTATCTATTAAATAATAACTAAATCTAAAGATAAAATAAAAGCCACTTGGAAAGTAATAAATAGCGAAACTGGAAAAGTTAATTTTCAAAATAGCAAAATAGCTTTAAATATTAATAACAAATTGGTAAATTCCGACACAGAGGTCGCGCATACATTCGAATCTTATTTTACTAATATTCCATTAATTACGACACAGGCTCTAAAATCTTCCCCGTCTGCTGCTGAAACTTTACTAACAGACAATGTTAGCAAGTCATCAGCTGTATTTAACTTTAGACATACATCATCAGTAGAAATAATGAAAATATTCAAACAACTTAATAATAAAAAAACAGAGGATCTATGGGGTATGTCTGTTAAAATACTGGATAGTATAATGGAAATTATTGCGCCCTCTCTTGCTTTTATTTTCAATAAATGTATAGATGAAGGTAAATTTCCTAACATAATGAAAATTAGTAAAATCATACCGCTTTTTAAATCTGGAGATAGGAGTGACCCAATAAATTATAGACCTATATCCATACTCCCAGCACTCAGTAAAATTTTTGAAAAAATAATCCTTATGCAACTTGTCAGTTATTTCAATTTAAATAATTTAATCCACAATAGTCAATTCGGTTTTTCCAAAGGTCGTTCAACTACAGACGCAGGTGCAGAGTTGCTTAGACACGTATTTGCTGCATGGGAAACTAAAATGGATGTGATAGGTGTTTTTTGTGACCTTTCTAAGGCTTTTGATTGCGTTGATCATAATACATTGCTAAAAAAACTTGCTTTTTATGGCGTCAAAGACAATGCTTTAAATTTAATAAAATCTTATCTATCTGATAGAATACAGAAAGTGAAGATTAGCAACGCTACGTCTGACGGGTCACTTGTGCAAATGGGTGTACCTCAAGGATCTATTCTCGGTCCATTTTTATTCCTAGTTTACATTAATGATCTCCCATATGCCATGCAGGATAGATGCGGCATAGTATTGTTTGCAGACGATACTTCATTGATTTTTAAAGTTAATAGAATGACTAATAATTATGACGATGTAAATAGTGCTTTGCGGCGTCTCCTGCACTGGTTTACAACTAACAATCTTATGTTAAACGCTAAAAAAACAAAATGTGTTAATTTCTCTCTATCTAAAAGTTTTAATACTAATTGCAATATTAAATTAAATGACGAATCTCTCGAATTCATAGACTCTACTGTCTTTCTAGGAATCACACTAGATAATAAAACACAATGGGGTGCACAAATTCAAAGCCTTGCAGCGAAACTAAGTTCAGCAGCTTTTGCCGTGCGTAAAGTTAGACAGTACACTGATACTGATACTGCTAGATTAGTCTATTTTAGTTATTTTCATAGTTTACTCTCTTATGGAATATTACTATGGGGAAAAGCGGCAGATATTAAGAATATATTCATATTACAAAAACGTGCCGTTCGAGCGATCTACTGTATGAAGAGTCGTGACTCATTAAGAGAGAAATTCAAAGAGGCAAATATTCTCACCGTTGCTTCTCAATTTATATATTCAAATATTCTATATGTTCATAAAAATCTTGACTTATTTCCAAAAAACAGCAATATTCATAATATTAATACTAGATTTAAAGACAAACTTGCTGTCCCCAAGTATCGTTTAGAAAAAGTTAATAGGTCTTTTATGGGAATAGGTATAAAAATTTACAATAAGATACCAAAGGATATGTTGGAATTACCCTTAAATAAATTCAAAACATCTGTTAAATCATATTTACTGAGCAAAGCCTATTACTCACTAAACGATTACTTGAATGACGAGTGTGCATGGCAATAGTTGTTCATGCACTGAATTTTCATTTAATGTTAGACATAGACACCTATATAAATATACATTGTAAATAAACTGGCTCTAAAAAAAAAAGTAATTCAATTGAGTTTCTTGCCAGTTCTTCTCAATTGGATCTATATACCGAACTGGACGGTAGGGTAAATATAAAATTATAATGTACAAATTTGACGTTCATAAGCGGCTAAAATGTCCTACATGAATAAATGATTTTTGAATTTGAATTTGAATTTATTTATTCACAGACAGTAAAACAGTTGCAAGTGACGGCCCAGCTCGGGAACAATGACAAGTTCCTTGAGCAATATGACTGGATAAACGGTGAGCGCTGTTTTCTTTTTTTTTATACCACGAAAGCGGCAAACAAGCACACAGCCTGTCTGGTGGTAAACGGTTTCTTTTTAATGGATGATAATGGAATGATAACCCCACCCGCGCTATCGGTATACACCGGCGGTGCACCAGTGAAGGATGATAGGTGAGGATGAAGTAGGTCAGTTAGCCCATCGTCACAAATTCAACAAGAATTATTTACGATGGTTTCCAGGGGGAACCACGTGGAGGTCGACCTAATACGGTATATTGCTAGCAATGGGGCTATCAAACTCCATTACTAACAATCCCTTTCCCCCCTCACTCTCACGAGACTCACGTATGTGTGCCTCGGCCCACATTAGCACGTTCGTCCATCAATGTCTCAGTTGCTGGCCGCTGCAGTAATGTACTATTTATTAATATTACATTATTCCAGGCGTGTTTCAAGACCACAACATAATAACAGGAGAGATGCGAGCGCATGTTAAAAATTATTACACACAAAAAATGTATGTTGGAACGCAGCAAGCAACCGGCTTGATCAGAAGTGCTTTCAAGTGAGTGTTCTTCTAAATAATAAGACTACTTTCTTCTACTTCCATCATCATCATCATCACCATTTCGTCTTTATCGTTACTTTTTTTTAACAACACAGCGGCATGCGGCTCACCTGATGGTAAATGACTACCGCCACCCATGATCACGCACAACACCAGCGGCATTGCAGGTGTGCTGCCGTGTCTTTTCTTGAAGGTTATGTTGTCGTATCGGTTCGGAAATACTGCCGCTGGAAGTTGATTTCAAAGAGTGGTTGTGCGTGGAAGAAAGTGCCTTGAAAAACGCACGGTGGAAGACCGCCACTCGTCCAGATGATTGGGATGAAACTTTAGTTTGTAGCGGGTTGTACGGTGGTGAAAATCAGCAGCAGGTATCAATCCGAACAATTCCTCAGAACACTCCCCATGATAAATTCGGTAGAAGATGCACAGAGATGCAACATCTCGGCGCATTTTCAGTGGGTCAAGTCGGACAGTAAGGCGCTGATAATCAATAATTCGAGCCGCCCGACTTTGTTGGTATTTCAATGTATTATCATGTATATAAGTTGGCTGTGTGGTCCCGGCGTAGAATAGGCCATCCCTTCCTTTCCGGTGGGTGTCGTAAGAGGCGACTAAGGGAGGGCGAGGAATGGGCAGCAGCGTTCTTTTTAAAACACCTCTAAAGCCTAACTTTTTTTTATACCACTGAGGTGGCAAACAAGCATACGGCCCACCTGATAGTAAGTGGTTACCGTAGCCTATGAACACTGCAATACCAGAGGTACTACGCGTGCGTTGCCGACCCTGAAGAAACCTCTTTACCCCCTTTTGAAGAACCCCATGCTGTAGTCTCTTGGGAAAACCTCGGCAGGGAGCTCATTCCACAACCTGAGTGTTCGTGGGAGGAAACATCTCTGAAACCGCGCAGTACCGATACCGTACCCGTATAATGGGCATCCCCAGTGCTGTCATTCGCATAACAATGGCAAACAAGCTGACAGCCCACCTGATGGAAAGTGGTAACCGTCGCCTATAGACATGAGCAGTACCGTGGACATAACAGAGTATACTGTTTCGCCCATGATATCCCCCATGCGTTGCCATTCCTGAGGACTCAGGTGTTATTCCTCTGTACCCTGTAAATTCACTGCCATATCGCACACTTCAAACCGAAACACAGCCATGCAAACACAACTGCTTCACGGTTGAAACACGAATGGGACAGAGGTGGTCAAGCAAACAACTTTTGTACAAAGTCTCCCTCTGGTAATGCATTAAAGTTTAAACGAATAACAATAAATGATTATTTTTTTTTTTATAAATTTACAGCAAACTGCGAGGCAGCCCCACATCTACTGTGTACTACAGGTGTTCCTTCAACATCTCCTGCTGTTTCAACACTCACGGTGAACAATACTTCGTAAGTGCTTTTTATACATGCTAATACTGTAAAAAGATTTTTTTTAAAACTGATGGTAAGTGACTACCGCCGCCTCTGATCACCCGAAACACCAGAGCCACTTTTTTTTTATATACAACTTAGAATGGCAAACAAGCTGACGGCCCGATGGTAACGTGGAAAGTGGTAACCGCCGCCTATAGACATGAGCAGTACCATGGACATAACAGAGTATATTGTTTCGCCCATTATACCCCCCATGCGTTGCTATTTCTGAGGACTCAGGAATAGCAACGCATGGCAACAAAAAGACTTGCATGGATGCCGGCCTTCTAAAAAGAAATATGCTCTTTTCGTAAAGGTTGTCGATGTCGACCTGCTTTCATCCACTTGGGTAACACCAGTCATATCCCTATCTTCATCAGCTATCATCCCCCACTGGTGCCCCGCCAGCGTATACCGATAGCGTAAGCAAGGTTACCATTCCATTATCATCCCATAAAAAAACTACCTTTGTTCTACAGGTACCAAGTATTGTTTGGACAGTCCAAATTTTATCTGTAATTTAGCTCCAAACAAACTCCAGCGCATTCCTCCTCATGCGTGCCAGCTCGTCGTCATAACTGATGAGGCTCAGGAAGTGTCCATCGAAGCCCATCTGCGTCATCAGAGACGCGAACTCCCGGGTATGACCGAGGACGTCAGCTTGCCACGTCACCAATGGCCGACCGCAGTCGAAACTGGAAGTTCTTTCTAAATAGTGGTTGTTTTTTTTTAATGGATGAAAACGGAATGGTAACCCCGCCTGCGCTATCGGTATACGCTGGTGGGAAACCAGTGAGGAATGATAGGTGAGGATGAAAGAGCAGATCAATTAACCCATCGTGACAAATACACCTGGAATTTAGCACGATGGTTTCCAGGGGGAAGCACGTGGAGGTCGACCTGTCAGGTATATTGATAACAATATTGCTAACAATGGAACTAGTATAGCGGTTCTGCATAATGGTTAATTCCTGATGAATTCATCCCTGTTTTCATTCCCACTAGTAGTTATAAAAAAAATAATTTGGTTGTGTTAAAAAAAGATTTATATTTCTATATCATAAAGGATTATTGTCTTCCAGGTAGTTATATACAATCCCCTGGCTTGGCCTGTCACAATACCGGTGCGTTTACCAACATACAGGAGGGACTACGTGGTTTACAATCCGGACGGTATGTTCAGACCACTTTTAAACACTTCATAATTCTAGAAACATATAACAGACTTTTAATATATTCTAAAATAGATATCCGACCGACATTGGCGATATCGAAATGGCTGATGACCTTTTTCCCGCCATCAAAGTCCAGAGGAACCCAATATATAGATATCGGATCGGCATCCATATTACATGCCTATTGTGCTATATATTATTGAAAGATTATAAATCCCTAAAAAACATTTATAATTCAAAACATTGCCTATTAAAGCTAATATAAAATACTTGTATATATATATATATATATATATATATATATATATATATATATATATATATATATATATATATATATATATATATATATATATAATTCCAAATTTTAAAACTGAATTTGGGTATACGATTAATTTTTCTGTCTCGTTCAGGTGAGAAAATTCGATGCGCGCTGATACCAATACCGGAACCAGTGACTCAAATACCATACAGGAAATCCAAAGGTCGATACGAACTGGTATTTATCGCTGAAGACCTCCCACCGATGGGCTACCGCTCCTATTACGTGAGAGACCGTGAACTAGGCTGGTCCAGACCCAAACGATCGATTACCAAGAAAATTAGTAGAGACAACGGCAAAAAATATTACAAAGGACAAACAAATGCATTTAGTGATTTTGCTAATCATAAAGATAATGGATATGAAGAGATTAAAGGAGACAATAACGATGAATATTTCGATGACACTATCGTAAATAATACAACCGAAAAAAATATATATAAAAACTTTAATAATTATGACATAAAACATGAGAGAAATAGTTCTAAATATGATAATAATTACGACTTTTATATTGAGAATAAACCAAGATTAAGGACAGAATTAAACGTGTACGACACGAGTACAACGACAGTTTCAAATACGCAATTAAAAGAAGTAAATGAAAACGATAAATATATTGCTAAAGTAACAAATCAAAGTAAAGATACTAGCAATAATGTTGAACCAAAAACAGAAGGAGTAGAAGCACGTGATGCAATGGATAATGTTTCTGCAACTAAACAAGCAGTAAATGTTGAAATAACCGATGAAGCGACGAAAATGTTTACAGAAGAGACAACAGTGGATGACAATTTGAACGAATACAGTACTGTAACAACACCTACTGATAAATTTACAACAAGAAACGGCGCTTACAACTACACTGTGACAAGAACGCCTCCTTCTAAATATGGAGGTAAGGAAGTTCATGAAAATAGAGAAACGGAAACAATAACACCTGATAATGAAGAATTTGAAGATCCGAAAGAAAAAATTTGGAGAGGATCCCAATATGTTGAGGTGAAAGATAATTTTATAAGGAACAGAGTAAGTTATTGCTTCTTTAAATATGTACCTTCTTATTTTTTTTATTGGAAAATTCTTTTTCTATATCAGAATTTGTGTATTATAATTATCTTTATTGATACAAATATGCATTGTCTCAACTATTCCTGGACCTCTAGACAAGTGGCAAGCGAATTCGTCGATAGAATCGACATCGCTAGCGAGTCCGTGAGACAAAATGAGATAGCAACGCCGGGTGATTCATTCCTTTCAATCATTCCAACTCACGGACTCGCTAGCGATGTCTTTTCCATCGACGAATTCGCTTACCACTTGTCTGGAGGCCCTGCTGCCAAGTAGCTCGCTTGTGCGCCGTAATCCGGCGCGAAGGGCGAGATATGGCTATGGCATTGCTGTGTACTGCGACTTGTCATATCACGGCATGAATGGCGATATCAGTGTCGAGAGCAGTTATGGGTTATTGTATTGTAATTTACCATAAAATCTACCATACACTTGGCATCCAGTCTTGTTTTAATAACTATAATTACTTTAAATACGTTTATAACTTTTTAAATGTAATGACTACCGGTTTAACTTACGTGTAATTATTATCGGGAAAACTCGACTAGTTTCGGGACCAGTTTAGGACCCTTAGTCGTGAGTGGTTGTGACTGCGCGCCTCGATACGGCATAGGCAGACATACACTTTAAAAAGAGATAAAAAATCCATATACAAGAAAAGGAAAAAACATAAAAGAAGTAAATTTTGTTTCTTTACATGCGTAATTGGTTATTCGATATTAATTATAGGTAATTGAATGTTGCCACACTATGGTACCATGTGGTCCCGGCATAGAACAGGCCTTTCCTTTCTTTCCCGTGACTGTCGTAAGAGGTGACAAAGGGAGGACGAGACTTAGGCTGCACCATTCTTCTTAAAATATCTCCAAAGACTAACTGCGGGTGCCAATCCGCCTGCTAAGCATGGTAATCACTGGTAAAACCCCCCAAGGGGGAGATTTATGTTCAGCAGTGGACAGTTAGAAGCCGATATGATGATATTGACACTAGGATAAGCTAAAGTGTGTTCTTCGCTCTTCATTTATCCTGAATTTTTATTTAGATCATGGCAATTTAAAAGTGTTTCTTATCAGAAATATTCAATATTGACCAAAACTTTCAGTTTATAAAAGTAAATATGGACAATCGAGGCCGGATCGAACTGGTCGAGTTACTGAACGGAGTCAACATGTCTCTCGACATAAAATTCTATTTCTACGCATCAGACGACCCGGACAGAATGGGAACGGACAAGAAAAGGCCCGGTGCTTACATATTCAGAGCTATGGACCCTAAACCGAAACTTATTGAAGACTATCTAGAGATGAAAGCATACAAAAATGGTTTACTACAAGAGCTGCATATGCAGTATTCAGATTATACCTCTTTTGCTCTTAGACTGTATAGACGAACGCCATACATCGAATTAGAATGGATCGTGGGGCCTATACCATGTAAAGATGAAATTGGTAAGTTCAATATGAAAATCCATCAAGAACATTTACTTTTAAACTTCTGTGTTTCATATTTTGTGGTTTATAGGAGATGGGAAATAATGCGATCATGAGCCTCCCCTTCCTTTCCCGTGGGTGGCGTAAGAGACGACTAAGGGAATTTAATGGTCAAGGAATAGGCAGCAGCGTCAGTTTTGGCTTATTCTATGCCAGGATTACACGGCCATCACAGTATCCCTTTCAGACCCAAGATTTTTTTTCTTTCAGATTAAATATATTTTCGTGTTTTGGAGCCAAGCCATCTTGCACGAGACTACTGGACCACCTAACTGCTAAAATGATTTCTTGTTGGCTGGTTTAGAATCTCACTATCATGTTATTTCAGTTTCGTGCGTAAAAATGAATTGCGCGCGGTTTTAGAATTTTATAAAGTTACAACTCACGCCCGTATCGTTCAGGTCTGAAAGGGGTATACAATATAGGACAATTTACAAATAGAAGAAAACTAGACAGAATATTATAAATAGCCGAAAATATTTAAATTCATATATACATATATAATTGTTAAGTAATTATTATAATTAAATACAGATAAATAAATAAGTATTCTACAGATGCCCGACCAAGAATCAACGTCTCCTATCGTTTTCGATTGCATCTAAGTGTTAAATTCCAGGCAAAGACGTATTCATAAGATACTCCACTGATCTGGACAACAGAGGCGTTTTCTACACGGATTCCAACGGGAGACAGACTGTGAAGAGGATAAGGAATACCAGAGCATCCTTCGTGTTGGGGAATCAGGATCCTGTGGCTGGTGATTAGTGTTCATATTTTATTACCATCCTCTTCCTACCCTTATCACAATTATTATTTGTGGTCGACGTAATATGTTTTTATCCATATTACAAAAAGATTTGGCTTAGTTTTACGACCGGCCGCCTGCCTGACCTCAACCCTCTTTGGGAATGCATTTGTTAGTGGTTTCCACCATCTACGGTATAGAGGAAAGGATTAAGGAAAAAGGGAACAAAATGTTGAAAATGCGTAAAGAAAATTGGTAAATAAGAGGAATAAAGGAGTTGTGTGGGAAAGGAAAGGTGGGGATACTGCAGTTGCGGAAAAGACTGGGACACTGCTGTGTCTTGGGAGGCCGAAATCCGTATTTTATTACAACAATGGTGGCAATTAAGCATATGGTGAACCGTAAGCTTGGTATCAGAAGAGTCTTATCGCAAGTGATACTTACACCGCTTCCATCATCTGCAGGAACATACCCCGCTCCGTTACCCCTAATGCTGAAAAGATCTCGAGTCGCAAAACCCAGTAAAGTCACCGATATATTGCGCTTTTCACACCATTGTTTGTATCATTGTTAAAATAGATATACATAAAATTATTTTATCATCAATCCCACAAACATGAGAGGAAAGAGATTGTTAGTAATGGGGTTTAATAGTTCCATTGCTAGCAAAATACCCTATCAGGTCGACCTCCATACGGTTTCCCTGAAAACCTGGTGAATTCTCGTGGAATTCTTCACGATAGGCTGACCTGCATTCATTCTCACCTATTATCTTTTACTGGCGTCCGGTCAGCGTGTACCGATAACGCAGGCAGAGTTACCATCTCATTCTCACCTATTAAAAAAGATCCCAGAAACACATTAAATCAAGATTTTACTATTCCAGGAAATCTATATCCGGTCACATCAAAAATTTACATAGAAGATATAAAGAAAAACATACGATTCTCCGTCTTCAACGATAGAGCACAAGGCGGGAGTTCAATGAACGATGGTCAAATAGATCTAATGCTGAATCGGCAAATATTTACCGACGATAGTGGCATACAGGCATTACTTAACGAAACCGAGAGTGAAAAAGGCTTGATTGTCAGAGGCAAACATTACTTGTACATCACAAAATCTGATTACAAACCGAATAGAATATTCGAGAAGAAATTCTCCAAAGAAATCGAATTGAGACCTACCGTTTTTGTCTCGAAGAAATCTCCGTACGGTATAAACACGAAAAGTGCATGGATCAAAGAGAAAAATGAATTTAGCGCTGTAAAAACTAAACTGCCTTTGGGAGTCCATGTTTTGACAATTGAGAAATGGAACACAGGCACCATTTTGTTGAGACTGGAGAATTATTTAGAGAAATCTGATGTTGTAAAATCTGGTATTAAAAGAGTCGTTCTTAATAATCTCTTCGAAGGGATGGAAATTTTAAGCGCTAACGAAACGACTTTAGCTGCGAATATGTGGTTGAAAGACTGGGTGCCACTGCAGTGGGATAAAAATGAGAACTTTGTGAAAAACTTCAATGAAGCGTATGGTACCCAGAATATTAGTTTCAGAGAGGATGAAGGTTTGAAGCCGATTGATGACATCAATGTAAACGAAGTAGTAACATTGAGTCCGCAACAAATCAGAACATTTGTTTTAACTTTCAAGTATGTTACTTAACTACTTCTTTGATTACCTCTACTGAGTCGAGATTCGTCTGTTCCTGTTAACTATTTGTTGGATAATATATAATTTTTATCAGTTAATGATTTTTTTTTTACACTGATTGTTAGTTGCCACCTAAAGACAAGATAATTGCCCCGCTCCCCATCGACAGCATACTTAATCAATCGTGGAAATTCAGCCCTTAACGTAGCATATTGTACTAAGTCTATAAAATGTGCCTAATTCAGCAGTGTTCCATGCACACACACAAGTGTAATCACATTTTCGTCTCGTTTTTGTGATTGCATTGCCAGTCTATTAGTACGTACCAGAGGGAGACTTTGTCAAAGTCGATTGCTTGGGTACCTCTGTCCCATTCGTGTTTCAACCGTGAAGCAGTTGTGTTTGCATGGTTGTGTTTCAATTTGAAGGGTGGGATATGGCGTGAATTTACAGGGTACAGAGGAATAACACCTGAGTCCTAAGGAATGGCAACGCATGGAGGGTATCATGGGCGAAACAGTATACTCTGTTATGTCCACGGTACTGCTCATGTCTATAGGCGACGGTTACCACTTTCCATCAGGTGGGCCGTCAGCTTATTTGCCATTCTAAGTTGTATAAAAAAAAACGTAAAATTTTATACCAAGTCTATGTTTCTTATTTCACCTAACCTTAGCAAATATTGATAGAACCCTTAGATCACTTACCATTAGACAGATATGGAATTAATTTTGAAGTAATACGTAAAAAAAACTGCATACAAAAAATAAATTTATGGTCATAGAACTTCAAGGACAAACAACAACTTATTTTTAAATGCAACATATTTTATTAACCTTGCAACACTGGAAAGAGTTTGCAATGTTTAAAATAATTGTATAATTTCTCTTACATATTTACAACGATTCTGGCAAAATATCGTTAACAAATAAAGTATAAAATATAAGTAAATTAAATTACTTTTTTATAGTATAATAAAATATGTATTATTCAATACTATTGAAGGAAATAGATAAACTATTAGAATTCTTACTACACAGAGCGCAAGGGACAGGTTAGCAAAAACTCAAAGTGACTCCAAACCATTCTGAATTGAAAACCAGCGAAAATTATTCTGGAAAATTTCAAAACATTCCCTGTTCTTTTACCATTTACAATCATTTATTATAATATAAAGAAATATTATACATTTTATAGTGAAATCTTTTGAAATATCAAAAAATGTAGGTATCACGCGTCGTGTGCAGCACAGTATGTCACGGGGAAAGGGATTGTTAGTAATGGAGACTGAGAATCCCATTGCTAGCAATATACCCAACCAGGTCGACCTCCTCGCGGTTCCCCCTAGAAACTATCATGGTTGATTTCTGATGAATTCATCATGATTGGATAACGGGCCTGCTTTCATTCTCATCTATCACCCTTCACTGGTGCTCCGCCAGCGTATCCCGTTAGCGTAGGCGGGGTTACCATACCATTTTCACCCATCAAAAAAAGCACAGTATGTCGTAAAATTTCAAATACATTGCGCAGCGTCCAAACTAAGAATCATTAATTATATGGCTGCGGTGGTTATATTTCCGATGGGAAAACAATTTGCCGTCTGACTTAGATCATGCTGAATCAGCTATTTTTTTTTTGACCAACCTGTCCTTTCCACTCCGTTTTCTAATACAATTTTCGCTTTGGTAAAAAATCAATTTAGATAATCGTATTCAATTATAAATGTTCTTATTTGTCTAGGCTTAATTGTGACTAAACCTCTGTCTACGTCTGTATCGACAACACCATCATCTTCATCATCAGCGACGTCGCGTTGTGAACTGCCGTAATCATCGTTGAATGATTTTGCAAAGTTGTTTTCTTTGGTCCATTCCCACTTGTTGTAGTCACTCAACCACTGGTTAGCTGCCAGCGTTGTCTCTCTTATACCATTAATTTTTATATTATTAAACAATTTGTTTAAATCTACATCGATCGATTTCTTAAATGAATCAATATTTTCCAATCTCAATAGCAACTTCCCATCCCAAGGCTCTAAAGTCAGTAGATGTATGCCATCTATCGTACTTTGTGACCAGCTGTGTTTATTGGTCAATTTATACCAATCCTCAATGTTTAAGCTGTCTGCATTGGATACAAACACGACTGGACGCAAATGGTTCTTCAGTGCTTCAACATTTGTTAACGTACCTTCGGATTTAAGCACGTATATCCTCTGGTACCCTCTAACGACAAGCCCCACACCGTTGGCCGTTTCGTTCAACGCTTCGCCGACACCGAACGCGTCGTCGTGAAGCAACCTCCTGTGCAGCATCAGTTCAATCTCCCCATCTTTCAACGAGGTGCCACCCCGAGACCTGTCCGTTACAACAGCTAAGACATTCTCCTCATTTTGTATGGAAATGAAATTGGTGACTGGATAATAGTTTCCGGCGATTGGCTCCTCCAAAGTCAAGTTCCATTGTGGCCTCTCGTTCAGTTTCCTCTTAAGAACTTGTCTGCCACTCGAGTCCGTGTAAAAACCGTTTGTGTTACGCAAATCTGAAGTGTACCTCGCAACAAACTCTTTACCTATACCATCCTCTATCGGGATCGGTCCTATAACAAAGTAATGATCGATGTATGGGACTCCAGCGTAGAGTCTAATCACGCTGTTCACATTATTTGTCCTCGTTGTTCTAATCTCTGAGACTATGTCGCCGTCGACCCGAGAACTACTGATCCGTTCAAGATCTATCGCTTCTGTTGCATTTGGTCTGAAGATATAGGCGCCGGATGACCTGTTTTCGAATGCATAATTATCTCCGTAACAGCCAGGGTAGTACAAGAAAGAAACCTCGAAACTTACGCCGTTTTGGAGTGTTATTTTTTCTCCGTTGACATCTGCGGTGATGACGAAGTCCTAGAAAGAATTGTAAAATTGATATCAAAATATTACCGGAGAGAGATTTTGTAGAAAAGTCGTCTGCTTTGGCTACCTCTGTTTCTGTCTAGCAGCTACGTTTGCATGGTTGTTTTGGTTTGAAGATACTCGCATGGCAGTAAAATTACTGGGTACAGAAGCATTATACCATAGTTCGGGGGGAAAGGGATAAAGGGATAGTTTCTAATGGGATCTAACAGCCCCATAGCTAACAATATACTTTACTAGATTAACCTCCATACAGATCCTTTTGGAAATCACCATGGTAAATCAACAGTAATTACTGTTAAATACATCAAAATTAAATTATCGAAGATAAAAAAATTGATTATTAACAATTAAACTTACGTTTTTCTGGACGCTCTCAGCATCAGGATTCCTCTGTACAACCATGGGATCATCGGACAGCATCCTCATCTCTTCATCACTCAAATTCGGGTACAAATTCATCTGTAGGCCGTCTCTAATTCTTCTCGTTGTCTCAATTCTTCTATTCTCCTCTTTCAACAATTTCTCAAACTCTTCCACATCTTGATTAACAGACTCCCCTTTATTTCTTAGAACATCATAAGCCACTTTACCTCTATTCACTTGTTTGACTTCTTTGTCTACCGCACCAGGAAGATCTGGAATCTTCTCTACTCTATTCACATTGTCGAGTTCTCTCTCTAAACTTCTCACATCTACTTCTATTTTGTCTTTCACACTTCTCCAGTAACCATTCATATCGACATTGTATTCATTGGTAACATCTGCATTGTCATTAACGCCTTTTGCATGCCTCTTGGCTTTTGTTGGTGATTTCTTGACATAATAGGAATTAACTGATAAAGCTTGTAAATTGGCGATGAAGAACAACTCGTGGGTAGCTTTAGATTGTCTGGTGGGTATGTTTAGTACCGCTGGAGTTATATCTATTAATTGGGATTTAACCACTGTACCTAAAATACAAATGATAAAAAAAAATATGTAAGTTTGTGTTTTACAAAAAACCGACTTCAAAATTAAACTGTCGATTTTAATCTTTATGGGACTAATCTTTCAGATAAGATTACCAGAGGGAGACTTTGTATAAAAGTCGTTTGCTTGGCCACCTCTGTCCCATTCGTGTTTCAACCGTGAAGCAGTTGTGTTTGCATGGCTGTGTTTCGGTTTGAAGGGTGGGATATGGCGTGAATTTACAGGATACAGAGGAATAACACCCGAGTCCTCAGGAATGGCAACGCATGGGGGGTATCATGGGCGAAACAGTATACTCTTGACATGTTATGTCCATGGTACTACTCATGTCTATAGGCGACGGTTACCACTTTCCATCAGGTGGTGGTAAATTTTCGAAATAGGTTTCCAACTGACGGAGTTATGAGGTGAGAAACATGGAAAAATACAACCGAATTGAGAGCTAACTTATTTTCCATAAATACGTACCGTCTGAATCGTAAACAGTGTATTCCCCATCAACCACTGGTATGCCTATGGGCTCATCTAGAGGGTACGCTATGGGGTTGTATATTGTTACCTGAAACAAAACATTACACGCTTAAAAAAATAAAAAAAAAATCCGAATGCATCGACAGCCTACTATATATATATGCTCGTCTGCGCTAACGGTATACGCTGACGGAGCACCAGTGAAGGGTGATAGATGAGAATGAAAACAGGCCAGTTAGCCCATCATGATGAATTCATCAGGAATTAATCATTAGAAATTAATCAAGAAAGGGATTGTTAGAATGGATACTGAGAATCCCATTGCTAGCAATATACCCAACCAGGTCGACCTCCTCGCGGTTCCCCCTGGAAACTATCATGGTTAATTCCTGTTGAATTCATCACGATGGGCTAATTAGCCTATTTTCATTCTCATCTATCACCCTTCACTGGTGCTCCGCCAGCGTATCCCGTTAGCGCAGGCGGGGTTACCATACCATTTTCACCCATCAACAAAAAAAAGCGTCATGATATATATATATATATATATATATATATATATATATATATATATATATATATATATATATATATATATAACAAAATGTTTGTTAGTCCGCATGTTCATTCACTCACCACAAACTGGTTGCTATTCTCCGACGCTGGACAGCTGGTTTCGTTAAGCCGACACCTGTCGTACGTCAGTACTGTGGACTTGAGGGGGTCGCCTTGTGCCACTTTGCTGCGAAATAAGTATTGTAATATTAGGGTTCCACAGGTAAACATAATTTAGAATTGTGTTCTACAAAAAAACCTTACTTTAATTGTGAAAAAATCAATATTTATTTATTTAAACTTTATTGCACAGTAAAATTTAATGTAGGTACATATGGCGGACTTAACACCGGACGGTGTTCTCTACCAGTCGATCATTGGGCGAACAGAGAAATACGCAGGCGGTGTATTATTGAATAGAGAAAAAAATTTATTCTGATTTACCAGAGGGAGACTTTGTACAAAAGTCGATTGCTTGGCCACCTCTGTCCCATTTGTGTTTCTACCGTGAAGCAGTTGTGTTTGCATGGCTGTGTTACGGTTTGAAGGGCGGGATATGGCATGAACTTACTGGGCACAGAGGAATAACACCTGAGTCCTCAGGAATGGCAACGCATGGGAGGTATCATGGGCGAAACAGTATACTCTGTTATGTCCATGGTACTGCTCATGTCTATAGGCGACGATTACCACTTTCCATCAGGTGGGCCGTCAGCTTGTTTGCCATTCTAAGTTGTATAAAAAGAATTACAGAACTGACCGAGTAATAAGGTAACAAACATAAGGGAGAAGGGGATTGTTAGTAATGTGAATTTACGTGCTCCATTATTAGCAATATACCCTGTCAGGTCGACCTCCACGCGGTTCCTCTTGGAAACCATCGTGGTTAATTCTTGTGGAATTTATCACGATGGGCTAACTGACCTGCCTTTTCATCCTCACCTATCATCCCTCACTGGAGCACCGCCAGCGTAACCCGATAGCGCAGGCGGGGTTACCATTCCATTATCATCTGGATCAACTCATGCCATCTGTCGTCAAATTTTGTAAATATATTCTATTCTAACTGTCAAAGTTCAATAATCGTTTATCCGTACTACAAGAGATGGCGCTGTATGTAAATATATACATACTTGCATATATACTTATACATACTTCAAATGAAGTACAGTTTTAGCCTTTGTATGTATGAAAGAACTGTATATATTCCTCTCTTTCTCTTCCGTTGGAATAGAAATTAAAATGGCCTATTGTTTGCGTTTCTCAAGTTTATCAATTTGAATCGCCCTAAAACATATCCTCAATTGAAATTATTTATCCGTTAAAAAATAAATTATGCAGCATAGAAGCTTGCACTCACTTGAAAGCCTGTCTCGCGATGATGAGAGCATCCTCGATGGCCTGGTCCAGCAACCTCTCGTAGTCGTGGGTGACGTGCTCCTTCTCTGTGCCCGTGATGGCATCGTGGTGCTGCATCACGCCTGGATAATGATGAGAATATATATATATATATATATATATATATATATATATATATATATATATATATAAAGAATATATATAAAACCAAAAAAAGAAAAAAAACTGCTTCACGATAGAAACACGAATAGGACAAATATGTACAAGCAAATGACTTTTGTACAAAGTCTCCCTCTGTTGTTAATTCAACTTCACTCACCCATTGCACCTCTGAGCTCGTCCAACACATCGGTATTGTGCTCCGGTAAATCAGCCAACACTTGCAGTTGTTTCAATACCTATAACAATAGTCTTTTACAGTATGGGAGAATACTATGCCTACACATCCCAAATAATAGTTAACATAATTATTGTTAATATAAATCCTTAAGACTTGACATAATGTATGTGTGTATATATATAATTATTTATAATTTATGTAAATATTTATTTAAATTTCCGTCTTGCACTACTACTGCCCACTCACTACTTCCTACGCCACTGCGTTAGGTTGACTGGAAGAGATCTCTTTTAGGGATAAGTTCACCTTTGCTAACATTGTTATTAACTTATTGTTGTTACTGTATGTTTTAGTGCATATATTATATATATATATATATATATATATATATATATATATATATATATATATATATATATATAAATTTGCCATTGTAATTTGTATTTAATTAATCATAATAATGTAATTGTTAATTTTATTTGATACGATATTGAATATTTTTTTTTATACAACTTAGAATGGCAAACAAGCTGACGGCCCACCTGATGGGAAGTGGTAACCGTCGCCTATAGACACGAGCAGTACCGTGGACATAACAGAGTATACTGTTTCGCCCATGATACCCCCCATGCGTGCCATTCCTGAGGACTCGGGTGTTAATCCTCTGTACCCTGTAAATTCACACCATATCCCACCCTTCAAACCGAAACACAGCCATGCAAACACAACTGCTTCACGGTTGAAACACGAATGGGTCAGAGGTGGCCAAGCAAACGACTTTTGTACAAAGTCTCCCTCTGGTAAAATATAAATGGCATATTCGTGAAAGTGAAACATTGAATATATTCAAGAGCAGATTAAAAGAGCATCTTCTGTCCTCATAAACTTATTATGTCTATGTATGTATATGTACCTATTTTATGTGTGAACAGATATCTTATGTATGTGTATGTATGTATATGTATTATTATATACAGATATGTATGTATTTTAAATATATGAATTACTTTGTATATATGTCAACATATTTATTATTTTTTAATAGAAACATCTATACTGTCTCCTCCTATTATTGTACGCACACTGCCCGCTGGTAGTCAATGCTGCTCTCCACTCAGGGTTTGCTGGTAGAGAACTCTTACAGAGTTAAGCTCGCCTGTTGTACATCTTTATTTGATATAAATTATGTTTGTAATTTTGACTCCTAAATACCTGAAGGTAGTTGTTCCCTTCCCTCTCGAAGTACTTGGTGGTGGGGCGGGAGGAGAAGTAGCCGGTCCAGTAGGCGTGCGGGTCGCTCGCGTAAGGGAAGAAGTCATCCTGTTTCGTGGGTAGTACCGGGCTGCAACACACGTAGGGATTCGTTTAGATCAGCCTTTTCCAAAGTGGGAGATAACGCCCCCTTGTGGGCGCTGCAGGCCTAAAGGGGGGGTCTACCGGCGCATCCCCCGAGTGGTAGGGTGAGCACGCCATCCACCCTATCTTGAGAGAGGAGATCTGCTCTTACCATCAGACGGCGGGTCGCTGCCGTCGGAGATGTGGTGAGTGCGAAAGCGAACCCATGGCTCCGACATATGGCACCTCGAGGGTATATCATCTGGTTTTTGGTGGGTAGACCCCCACCTTACGGGGGGGACTCCCACAGTACCCATTCACCTCCCACAAGGTGTATGGGTCTGCATAAAGCATTTTCCAGACGTTAAAAAAAAAAAGGCCTAAAGGGGGGCGGTAAGAGACCCAGAAAAAAAAATGGGTCCGTTGTGTAGAGGTTTAGGGGTGATTTGTAATTTAAAGTAATAGTATTTTTTTTGATGGGTGAAAATGGAATGGTAACCCCGCCTGCGCTAACGGTATACGCTGGCGGAGCACCAGTGAAGGGTGATAGATGAGAATGAAAACAGGCCAGTTAGCCCATCGTGATGAATTCATCAGGAATTAACCATGATAGTTTCCAGGGGGAACCGCGTGGAGGTAGACTTGGTTGGATATATTGCTAGCAATGGGATTCTCAGTCTCCATTACTAACAATCCCTTTTCCCCCAATAGAAATAATTTATTCTCAAAGTGGGCAGTAGACAAAATAAGTTTGGAAACCCCTGGTTTATATTATTATGGTTTATATAATAGTCTATCGGTAATGCTGGTGATCATCATCATCATCATCAAATAACTCAAAACTGTCCACTGTTGAACAGAGGGAGACTTTGTACAAAAGTCTGTCCTATTCGTGTTTTTACCGTGAAGCAGTTGTGTTTGCATGGCTGTGTTTCGGCTCCGGGCTGTTCCTTATGGTAGTCCCCTAGATGGGTCATTTATACATATATCCTCATGGAAACCTATGTTTTTTTTTTTTAATTTATATAACATGGAACGGCAAACAAGCTGACGGCCCACCTGATGGAAAGCGGTAACCGTCGCCTATAGACATGAGCAGTACCATGGACATAACAGAGTATACTGTTTCGCCCATGATATCCACCATGCGTTGCCATTCCTGAGGACTCAGGTGTTATTCCTCTGTACCCTGTAAATTCACTGCCATATCCCACCCTTCGAACCGATAAATAGCCCGGAATATTTTATATATATATATATATATATATATATATATATATATATATATATATATATATATATATATATATATATATATATATATAACGGAATACTTACTTGGCATCCTTCACAGCTTTAAGGTAGCAATTCGGAGTTGAATAGAACAAAGTTATGTTCAAATTCTCTTTGGCGGCTTTCAGATTAGTATACCTGTCAAGAAAACATACACGTGGCTTGATACATCTAAAACCTTGATTTATTTCACCAATAAAAAAAAATCATGCAAAGAAAGGTTGAAATACAATAACTGGTTTTTCCACATTTAAAGTTTTTTATTAACAATTTAATTATTCAATTAAAATACTGTATTTCTCAATCAATAGACAGATTTTTAAGGGGTTCACCGTGATGTAAAAAGCCCAAAATATAAAGATACGTGAAGCCATAAGTTTGAGAAACCCTGATATAAACTATTCACTTCCCATCCTTAATCCCATCCTGTGATCATGCTAAAGCTAAAATGATTTAATTAATCAATCCTTCTGATCTGGACTTATCACCAAATATAAAAGCAAAGCAAAATAAAAAAATGAATGCTACAGCCAATGAACAATCATAAAATGGAATGCATGCTTCAAAGAAATGATAGAAAAAAAAATGGGATTTTTTTTTATACAACTTAGAATGGCAAACAAGCTGACGGCCCACCTGATGGAAAGCAGTAACCGTCACCTATAAACATGAGCAGTACCGTGGACATAACAGAGTGTACTGTTTCGCCCGTGATACTCCCCATGCGTTGCCATTCCTGAGGACTGAAGTTATTCAAAAATTACCATAACATCCATGTTTATTTTTAAAATAAGATCATTAATTTTTATATAATAAATATATAGTTTTAGTCGAAATAGATAGATAGATAGATAGATAAACACTCTGAGTTATTTATAACCCGCGTAAATTAACAAACGAGTTCATACTATCAAATTAATTATGTACATAATTATAAAAAATAAAACAAACTGTAGTCTCTTGTGAAATCCTAAAGCTATGCACAAAATTGTCATTAATTAAAAAACGCACATATTCTATCTCATATTGTTAGAATAATAATATTTATTGATTAATTCAGTTACAAGATATGGCGGATCGTAACGTCTGTCCGTCCCTGTGTTATGTTCTACCAAGAACCTGTGCGTGTGCGTGTGCGTGTGTGTGTGCGTGTGCGCGCGCGCGCGCGTTTGTGTGTGTGTGTGTGTGCGTGTGCGTGTGCGTGTGCGTGTGTGTGTGCGTGTGCGCGCGCGCGCGTGTGTGTGTGTGTGTGTGTGCGTGTGCGTGTGTGTGCGTGTATGTGTGTGTATGAACGTATGAGTGTGTGTATGCGTGTATGTGTGTGTGAATTATAAATATGTTAATAAATCGAAAAAGTGTTTGCTCACTCTATCAATTTATCCAGATTTGTGTACCACATGGTGGCATCCTGGTATGTGAAGTCACCGCCCATGGTCAATATCACGTTGTTTGTCCTGTACCTTCGAGACTGGGTCTCGACGTAACTGAGAAACTCATTCACCTGGTGGAGAAGATTGGATACGAATGAGTGAGTATTCAGGTTAGTTTGAACTTTTTTGCACTTCAGTTCTCAGGAGCGGTGACGTATGTAAGGTGCCGTATGGACGGTACAGTATTAAACTGTGTACTGCTTTTTATTTACATATATTTACTTACTAATATTATAATTCAGATAGTGCGTTTGTTTGTTTGTTTTTAACCTTGACGGCTTAATCAATAACTGTGATATTTGGTACGTAAATGTGCAAATTGTACAATGACATTGATTTTACCAGAGGGAGACTTTGTACAAAAGTCGATTGCTTGGGTACCTCTGTCCCATTCGTGTTTCAACCATGATACAGTTGTGTTTGCATGGCTGTGTTTCGGTTTGAAGGGTGGAATATGGCGTGAATTTACAAGGTACAGAGGAATAACAGCCGAGTCCTCAGGAATGGCAACGCATGGGGGGTATCATGGGCGAAACAGCATACTCTGCTATGTCCACGGTACTGCTCATGTCTATAGGCGACGGTTACCACTTTCCATCAAGTGGGCCGTCAGCTTATTTACGGTTTTTAGTTGCATAAATAAAAATTATTCCATCAACTGGATGAGCTTTACGCTCTCTCAATACGTCTTAATTTCTTTTTTATTTTTTTGTAACCACTGACTACATGTTTTAGGGACAAGCTAAAACAAAAATATGACCGCTAGATGGTGTTGTAAATCTATATCTATCTATACTTATAATAAATCTGTAGAGAGGTCAATTCTGTACATGAAATATATTTGCAAAATAACTATCAGCGGGTGATTAGTGATCCATACTGATGCCAAAAATGCAATCAGTAAAATTTTTGTCTGTCTGTCTGTATGTTCGTTATAGAAACAAAAACTACTCGACGGATTTTAACGAAACTTGGCACAATTATTCTTCATACTCCTGGGCAGGTTACAGTATACTTTTCATCACGCTACGATCAATAGGAGCAGAGCAGCGAAGGGAAATGTGTCTGTTACATCAAAACCACTAAACCGTGAGGGAGGACATAGGCTACTTGTTTTACGGAAAACGACGGAAACGCGGACGAAGTCGCGGGCAACAGCTAGTAGAAAAATAAACTTGACACGGTCATTCCAAATTTCAAAAGCAATAAAATTGTATGAAGGAACAATACCATATTACATACATTGTTACATGCGAAGCAATTATGAAACAATGGACAAGGGAATAGGTTGAGTAGCAAATGTGAAAAAATGTATGAATGTATACATGACAGGAGATTATGTGCGAGCGAGATAGAATATACAATTATTGCAGTACTTGAAAAGGGTATATTACACTGTCAAATATATTTATTTATTTATTTATTTAAGGAACACCAACAGCATATTACATTATAACATATAGGTGTAACAAACATTAAATACAATACAATATTAATGCACACGCCTATTATAGGTATTCACAGCATTCACTTTAACCTGCTTCATCCTCACCTATCATGTTTCACTGGTGCCCGTCGGTATATACCAATAGCGCGGATGGGGTTACCATTCCATTATCACCCATTAATATATATATATATATATATATATATATATATATATATATATATATATATATATATATATATATATATATATATATATCCATTTTATAAAAAGATTTGGCTTATAGTTTTACGACCGGCCGCGCGCCTGACGTCAACCCTCTTTGGGAATGCATTTGTTGGTAGTTCCCGCCACTTATGGTACCGAGGAAAAGATTGGGGATAAAAGGCAAGGAACGTTGTGAATGCGTGAAGGTAATTGGTATACATTTCACAGTGTAACAATATACCCCTGACTGACTCACTCTATCAACTTGTCCAAGTTGGTGAACCACATGCCGGCGTCCTGATAATGGAAATCATCTCCCATGGTAACTAGAATGTTATTTGTGGTGTACGCTTCGGACATAAGGCGGGCTCGCTCTATGAACGCCTCTACCTAGTTGGCAAAACAAATTTTCTTCAGCCCTTATTTATTTATTTATTCATTAGTACATATATGTGTACATGGCGGACTTAATGCTAGAAGCATTCTCTCCCAGTCAACCATATGCAAGTGTCAGAATACTCGAATGCGGTACTAGTAATTATTGATATACATACATACTAAAATTACATATATAAACGAATAAATATATATAAATAACAAATATACTTACACATATATGACATATACTATATTATACACGAAATTGAGAATAATATAAAGCACTTACTGCTCGGATAATGTAAAAAAGTGAGCGTGAACGGTTTTTTTTACCCTTACTTACATTGTTAAAAAAAAATAAAAAAAATTAACATATTATTATTTATATATATAGAATTATTATCGTGCCTCCCACCAAACTGTTTATAATTACTCCTCTCCATCCAAAGGTTGGCTGCAAGAGATCGCTCTTAGCGATAAGGTCGCCCATTGTTTTCTCACTGTGATTATTTCTTGTAATTGTTTGTATCTATAATAAGTTTACTATTGTAATCTTTTGGAGGTAACAATAAAGAGTATCTATCTATCTAAACATATTTATGTATATAATTACAGTAAGTAGTTTACTAAATTATACCAATTTGATATTTTTGTGCATTACAGGTTCTTGTATTTTATGCACGAAAAATTATTAATTCCCTCTCGCGCCACCTGCCCACTTCTATCTGTTCTCCTTTAACCAAATGTTGTCTGTAAGAGATCGCCCTAGCGATAAGACCGCCTTTTGTACCTTTATGTGTATATTTCAATCTGTATTTATGTTACTGTACTTCACTTGAATTGTTCACTTGTCATTGTATATTTTAAGAAGAAAGAAATAAATAAATATTCTGTATTTAAATTTATTTTCAGTTGCCATTTTTTTTTTTAATTTTTATTATTTTTCTATTAATAAAATTGTAAATTTAATAACTCATCTCCATCCTAAGTAACTGTACTGTGTTATTATCCCGAATTGTGCATGCATGCAACATTATGCATGCATATATATCATGCTATGCTATGCACACTTATTTAATTAACATACATTTATGTATAATACAATATTTTTTTGATCTAACTCTGACCACACCACGCATTACGATCAATCCGAATTCCATGCAGACATATGCATGTATGCAACTCATGCACACTTACTTACTCGATCAACTTGTCTAGATTTATATACCACATGGCTGCGTCTTGGTACTGAAAGTCTTCGCCCATTGTGATCAGTATATTGTTCGTTGCATATGCATTGGACATGTTCTTGCATATGCTGATAAACTCGTTCACCTTCAAACGAGTGCATGGAATGATCTCTGTACGTTATCATCGGGTGATGGCATGTACGAAGTAACTGATACCTTTAAACCTATCTCAATTCTAACATAAAATATTCGGTATGTTTAAATTTCTTCAATACATTGTTTTTGGGGGGGGGGGGGGAAGGGATTGTTAGTAATGGAGACTAAGAGTCCCATTGCCAGCAATATATCCAACCAGGTCGACCTCCTCGCGGTTCCCCCTGGAAACTATCATGGTTAATTCCTGATGAATTCATCACGATGTGCTAACTGGCCTGTTTTCATTCTCATCTATCACCCTTCACTGGTGCTCCGCCAGCGTATCCCGTTAGCGCAGGCGGGGTTACCATACCATTTTCATCCAATAAAAAAAAAATTTAATTCTTTTTTTCATTACTCTGTCTGATCCCTGGCGTGAAACTAAATACACTATATTATTATAATTGATTAAAAACATTTAAAACACATCGCAAAAAGCAAACAAACTGACGGCCCACCTGATGGAAAGTTGTAACTGTCGATTATAGACATGAGCAGTACCATGGACATAACAGAGTATACTGTGATACCCAAAACATTTATAAATCGTCACTCCTGAGAACTGAGTTTTTAGACTAAAAAAAAAAATTTAAAAACAATGCTGGAACTTAATTTTTTTTATGATACTTAGAACAGCAAACAAGCTGACGGCCCAACTGATATAAAGTGGCAATAATCAGCTACAGACATAAACAGCACCGTGGACGTCACAGAATACACTGTGACATCCACCCACATATACTGTGCACACCTCATGCAGTGCTATTCCAATATTTTTTTAAATTCGCGCTTAATTTGCAATAACCCTAATCACAAGCAGACTAAAGTAAACAATGTTATTGTCGATAGATGGCAGTAGTTTCTTCTGTAACCACAGCTAGTGCAGTCTAATGAAACCGTGAAATGAGATATTAAATTCCCAGGTAAAACGGTGACGTCATTTTTCAGTCATTTTAAGGTCGCTTACTTAAAATGACCGGAAAATGACCAAGGAATGACGTCCATTAAAAGTACCACCCGGGTACCACTAAATACATAAGTGTTGAAAAACGACAATTAATATTAATGAAAAAAAATAATTTAATTTGAAAAAGCTGTACACTTAATGATAGAACTCACCCTCCTGTCGACGTTGTACAAAGGGGAGTTGACCTCGTCTACTATAGGCTCGTCACTGCACAACACGTCGAAACAAAATCCGGGCGGCGGGGAGTATGTATTGTACAATATACCGGTGAAGATATCAGATGACTTGCCTGGAAGTATAAAAAAAACCTCTCTATAGACAAGCCTTATACTGAGGGGCTGTAAAAAGGACATGATAAATAAAATAACACGAAACAAACAGTGATTTTAATTATTTTTATAACAAAAATACACATACATACATACATACATATCTGTCACGCCCGTCTCCCATTACGGTAGGCAGAAACAATGGAACGCCAAATGCTTCGATTCAAACGAACCTCTTTCGCTTCCTCCACATTCATCAAACTTTTCACACACACTCGCCGGTTACGGGTACTTTTAATTTGGCCCTTCTTCAGTACGTTGCCTATTCGATCGACATACGTCCGTTTTGATCGATAAATCTCTTTCGTAATTCTTCTTTCATCCATTCTCTCCAAATGGCCAAACCAACATTCCCTTTTCGATAAAAATACACACAATTGCATAATTACATTAAATTGAAAATCTTCAAATTTAGATACGAAATCATGTAATTTTTTTATACAACTTAGAATGGCAAACAAGCTGACGGCCCACCTGATGGAAAGCGGTAACTGTCGCCTATAGACATGAGCTGTATCGTGGACATAACAGAGTATAGACAGATAGATAGATAAACTTTTTATCTATACTGTTTTTATGTATACTGTTTCGCCCATGATACTTCCCGTGAGGAAAGATTCCGTCCGAGGACTCAGGTGTTATTCCCCTGTACCCTGTTAATTCACTGCCATATCCCATCCTTCAAACCGAAACACAGCCATGCAAACACAACTGCTTCATGATAGAAACATGAGTGAGACAGAGGTAACCAAGCAAACAACTTTTATACAAAGTTTCCCGCTGGTAAATTTATCGTTGTGTGTGTGCGTGCGTGCATGCGTGCGTGCGTACTTTAGTGTAAGTGAGTGCGTGTAGCGAGTGACGTGTTTTGTGTTTGTATGTGCTTGTATGTATAGTGTTTACTTTGTTTTCTGCTGTTTTGTATGTAATAAACTGATATGGTAAAAATACGAACTAAATCACTCACCAAGATCGTCGTCCCCCCTCCACACCATCTCCATCCTCTTGTCCGTGAGCCTGGCGTTCTTGTCTTGGTAGTCTATCCTGCCCAGGAACAGCCCATCGTATCCCATAGCAGCCAGAAGCGATGCGAACTCTCGCGAGTGACCGAACGGGTCTATCTGCCAACCGACGTGTGGCAACGCACAGGATCCGAAGGTATCGTTCAATTTTCTAGAAGTCAATTGAATTCATCAGATACAAGGAATATTATACCAGAGGGACACTTTGTACAAGAGTCGATTGGTTTCCCATTCGTGTTTCAACCGTGAAGCAGTTGTATTTGCATGGCTGTGTTTCGGTTTGAAGGGTGGGATATGGGTACAGAGGAATAACATCTGAGTCCTCAGGAATGGCAACGCATGGGGAGTATCATGTGCGAAACAGTATACTCTGTTATGTCCACGGTACTGCTCATGTCTATAAGCGACGATAACCACTTTCCATCAGGTGGGCCGTCAGCTTGTTTGCCATTCTAAGTTGTATATTATATATTGTTCATGAATGAACAAACGTAACGACTAACTCTCAAAAAAATCTGATAAAGAAAATTTATATAAACTTATTATTATTTAAAAAGTTTTTAAATTTAATACACAACACCCTTTTATGTTGCTTGGTTATTGGCAAAAAATGTATCCAAAATTCAACAATTACAATGAAACAGAGTTTTTCAACGTGTGAGTTGTCACTCCCCCAGGAGGTCTTCAAGGACTCAAGCCTTTATAGGGGGATCGCGAAAACTATCTCAGTAAAAAAACCAAAGTTATAAAGATAGATTTATTAAGAACAATGATAATTGAAACATTTATGTATTTAGTACATATTAACAAAACAAAATTAAAAATCTATGACACGTCCACCGTCGCACAGATAAAAAAATGAACTTGACCCAAGATAAAGAAAAATAATTCTTGAATCAAGTAAACCTATTTAGATTCAATGAACTTTACTGGAATTCCATATATATATATATATATATATTTCTTGATCAAAACAAATTGAAACAAATTCTTCAAAATTATTTTCTTGGGTCCAGATTTTTTTTTTTTTCTTGTATCGTCATAAAATAATCTTGACCCAAGAAAATAATTTTGCTTCGCTTTTTTACATTATAAAATACATGAAAAAAAGCGAAGAATGAAATATCTTTTCATACTAGGAGGTCGTGAAAAACACTGCAATAGAAAATCAAACATGGCCGAGCATCATCGTCATTTTAATCAAGTTTAGTTGAGGCAATGATATTTATGACATTCGCTGAACAACTGTCAAACACATCATGTTTCATACCTCATGATGACATATTCTACAATCAATTTTCAAAAAAGATTTCCACCAAAGTCAGTCCAAAATTTGCCAAACCAAACACTCACTTGAGACCCCATGTAAACTGGTCGAGCACACTCTGATAATGGGCGGCGGCCTCGTCGTTCATGCTCCAAGCGCCGCCGACGAACTCGAGCCGACCCTGGCGCACCAGCGCGTGGACCTTCTCCTTTACATCATCAGACTGGCGCGTCCACCACTTCCAGAAGAACGCTGTCTCCACGTACATAAATCTGAGAAACAATTATTAATTTCTAGCTGTAAACAATAGCTTTTCCCGCGAATTTATTTTTTATAACATTACGTCAGAATAGATGATTATTGAATTTTGAATGATGGCTCACCTGATGATGAATTAAGACTGCGTAAAAGAAAAACTAGCTCTGCCACAGCCGAGGTTTTCCCAAGAGACTACACCATGGGCTTCTTCAAAAGGAAGGGGGGAAGAGGTTTCTTCAGGGTCGGCAACGCGCGCGTAATACCCCTAATATTGCAGGCGTGGGGGGAAAGGGATTGTTAGTAATGGAGACTCCCATGGTTAATTCCTGATGAATTCATCATGATGGGCTAACTGGCCTGTTTTCATTCTCATCTATCACCCGTCACTGATGCTCCGCCAGCGTATCCTGTTAGCGCAAGCGGAGTTACCATAACATTTTCACCCATCAAAAAAATTGCAAACGTTGATAGGCTACGGTAACCGCTTACCATCAGGTGGGCCGTACACTTGTTTGCCATCTTAGTGGTATAAAAAAAAATATAAAAACCACAATTAAAGTCGCAATTGTAGCAAAAACAGTTATTTTGATGTAAAAACTAAACCACTGAATCGACTTTTATAAACATTCTTTGAGACTAATCTTTGGGCAAAAGGGAGAGATTTTAAAAGAGTTGAGTTTCTCGCGGACTCTTCACAACAGAGAACAACTTTACGACCACCGCAGTAGATTTAAAAAAATTACAATTTAAAAGTGCTTGTAAACAAGTCTATTTAAATAAAGATCATTTGATTTTGGATTATATAAAAAAAAAAGAGTTTTCCAAATCGATTCACAACTGACGAAGTTATGTGGTAATAAACATAAAAGTGACGCTAGTAAAAAGATGTAGACGTCGTATTGACAGGACAGATTGCTAGTACAGTAATGACCTTAAAATGATCAAAAACTGACGTCACTTTACAGTCACATCAATCATCATGGTTAAATCACCATCGTTTGTTTCAAACTCACTCACCTTCTTCTCTCGTCTTCCCATAGTTCTTTAATAACAGAATCTAGAATGTACTGGACACCAGCCTTCTGGATATCGTTGCGGCCTGGAATAAAAAGAGGGAGACTGTACAAAAGTCGTTTGCTTGGGTACCTCTGTCCCTTGTGTTTCTACCGTGAAACAGTTGTGTTTGCATGGCTGTGTTTCGGTTTAAACGGTAAGATATGGCAGTGAATTTACAGAGTACGGAGGAATAACACCTGAGTCCTCAGGAATGGCAACGCATGGGGGGTATCATGGGCGAAACAGTATACTCTGTCATATCCACGGTACAGCTCATATCTATAGGCGACGGTTACCACTTACCATCAAGTGGTCCGTCAGCTTGTTTGCCATTCTAAGTTGCATAAAAAAATCTACCTATCTCTCTGTACTTATCCACTATTTACGCCAGGTTGTCTGTAAGAGATCGCTTCTAGCGATAAGGCCGCCTTTTGTATATGCACATTCTGTATAAATACTCCTTGTTTACATCTCCATTGGGTGCAATAAAGAGTTTTTTTTTTTTTGTGGATGAAAATGGTATGGTAACCCCGCCTGCGCTAACGGGATACGCTGGCAGGGCACCAGTGAAGGGTGATAGATGAGAATGAAAACAGGCCAGTTAGCCCATCATGATGAATTCATCAGGAATTAACCATGATAGTTTCCAGGGGGAACCGCGAGGAGGTCGACCTGGTTGGGTATATTGCTAGCAATGGGATTTTTAGTCTCCATTACTAACAATCCCTTTCCCCCCAACAATAAAGAGTTTGTTATTGTCATGTTTGACCTACTTCCATAATAGTACTGGTCCACCGTCTTCAGCCATCCGACGTCATCGTGAGTGTGGGGAACGATGTGAACATTTAATAGTCCATCCTTGGGCGCTGTGCAACTCTGCGGACAAAGAAAACCAAATTTCCATAATAAAGATCGGTCGCAATTGTGGGGTACTTCGAGGGGAGAAGGGATTGTTAGTAAACGGCATTAGTTACTAGCAATGGGACTGCTAGCAACACATCCTATCAGGTCGACCTCCACACGGTTCCACCTGGAAACCATCGTGCTTAATTCCAATTGAATTCATCACGATGTGCTAACTGACCTTCCTTTTCATTCTCACCTATCATCCCTCACTGGTGCCCCGCCAGCTTATACCGTTAGCACCGGCGAGGTTACCATTCCATTATCGACTATTACAAAAAAAAAATACATGAGTATTAGACATTGTATTCTTGGCATAGAATGGGCCACCCCTTTACAAAAGGTGGTCGAAGGACGGACAGCAGCGTCCCTTAAAACATCAACAAAGCCTAACTGCGGTGGCCAATGTTTTAAAAAAAAAAACATTATGTCCCAGTGCAATAAAGAATAAATAAATAGATAGAATAAATAAATAAATAAATAGATACATAGGTCAATCATTAAACTCTATAATCGTAAACATTGTGTGTACATATTTGCTTATTATCTCTCCTAAACTATCTCCTACATAGTGTTGCCAGTTCAAATGTTATCGCCCATTACCTACTTGTAAATATATATTTATACTTGTATTTATATCAGGTTCATTATACTTCATATTAACTGTAAAGTTAACCAGAAATAGTTTTGTGTATGAAGCCGTCTGAATGGATTGTTTTTTTAATGGAGAAATGATAAATAGATACTCTTTATTGTTTCCACCAAAAGATTACAATAGTAAACTTATTGTTTTGCCGTGAAGCAGTCGTCGTGCATGGCTGTTTTTTTTTTTTTTTTTATACAACTTAGAATGGCAAACGAATTGACGGCCCACCTGATGGAAAGTGGTAACCGTCGCCTATACACATGAGCGGTATCACGGACATAACAGAGACTGTTTCTGTATGTTCTGTATATATATATATATATATATATATATATATATATATATATATATATATATATATATATATAAATAAACAAATATATATATATATATATATATATATATATATATATATATATATATATATATATATATATATATATATATATATATATATATATATATATATATATATGCTTTATATTATTCTCAATTTCGTATATAATATAGTATATATCATATATGTGTAAGTATATTTGTTATTTATATATGTTTATTCGTTTATATATGTAATTTTAGTATGTATGTATATCAATAATTAGTAGTACCGCATTCGAGTATTCTGACACTTCCCTATGGTTGACTGGGAGAGAATGCTTTCAGCATTAAGTCCGCCATGTACACATATATGTACTAATGAATAAATAAATAATGTACATATATTGGGAAACCAGGGGCTTCCCTGTCACATAGGACATGGCTGTTCTATGGTCTGATACTGCATAAACATATATTACAAATTCAAATCTTTTTTTTTTTTTAAAAAGACTTGTTTACAAGCGCTTTGAAATAATCATTTTTTTTTAATCTAGTTCGGGTGGGAATATTGAAGGCCGACCCTGATGACATGCCCTTTTTGAAGAACACCATGCTGTAGTCTCTAAAGAAACCTTGGCAAGGAGCTCATTCCACAGCCTGGCCTGAGCATACGTACCTCGTAACCACACTTCTCCCCCGGGCGAGGAGTGATCAGATCGCGACGGTGAGGTACACCCAGGACGGTATAAGTCGCCGAGAGTAACAGCAACGCAACAAACGCCATCTGTGTAACAAATATTTTATATTATTGATCTTTATGCATAATGTAATGTAATGTAAATTGAACTCTCTTTTCCGCGCTTAGCCTCTCATTTGTACCGTTGTAGGTTTTTTTACAACACAGGGGGCAAACGAGCATGCGGCTCACCTGATGGTAAGTGACTACCGCCGTCCATGATCACCCACAACACCAGCGGCATTGCAGGTGTGCTGCCGGCCTTTTAAAAAGGAATATGCTCTTTTCTTGAAGGTTATGTTGTCGTATCGGTTCGGAAATACTGCTGCTGGAAGTTGATTCCAAAGAATGGTTGTGCGTGGAAGAAAGTGCCTTGAAAAACGCACGGTGGAAGACCGCCACTCGTCCAGATGATTGGGATGAAACTTTAGTTTGTGGCGGGTTGTACGGTGGTGAAAATCAGCAGCAGGTATCAATCCGAACAATTCCTCAGAACACTCGCCAAGATAAATTCGGTAGAAGATGCACAGAGATGCAACATCTCTGCGCAGTTTCAATGGGTCAAGTCGGACAATAAGCCAGCCTTGCCCCGCCTAGAAGCACAGAAGCTTCCTGGTACACAGGCCTCACGAGCGACCTCACCGTTCCGAGGATTTCTAAACGTTGATGGGCCACAGGCTCACATGCCAGGATTACGTGAGCAGCCGTTTGTTCGGCGTCGAAACAGCCTCGACACAGAGGACTGTCTGTGGCTCCTATTGTGTATAGGTGTTTGTTTAATGGACAATGGCCCGTTATTGTCCCTATCATTATTTTGAGGTTTTTCCTATCTATATCGCCCATTTGCATGGTTATATTATAAATATAAAAGTGAGTTTTTTTATAAAAATGGTAACTCCGCCTGTGCTATCGGTGTACACTCGCGGGGCACCAGTGAGGGGTGATAGGTGAGGATGAAGCAGGTCAGTTAGCCCATCGTGACGAATTCAATAATAAATCCATAGTATGGCTTCCGAAAAACTGAGTCAACAACACTTTTTTTTTATACACCTTAGAATGGCAAACGAGTTGACGGCCCATTTGATGGTAAGTGGTAACCGTCGCCTATAGACATGAGCAGTACCGTGGACATAACAGAGTATACTGTTTCGCCCATGATACCCCCCATACGTTGCCATTTCTGATAACTCAGGTGTTATTCCTCTGTACCCAGTAAATTCACTGCCATATCCCATCCTTCAAACCGAAACACAACTGCTTCACGGTAGAAACACGAATGGGACAGAGGCACCCAAGCAAACGACTTTTGTACAAAGTCTCCCTCTGGTTTCTTCCAGTATCATGCAAAATCTACTGAATTTTGTATGTTTCTCACTCCATAACTCCATCAATTCCAAACCGATTTGGATAATTCTTTTTTTATCTGAAAGGATATACTTACATATCGATCCCGTGGAAATTTTATTCAATTCAATTCAATGGTTTAGTTTTTACTAGCCTTGGCACAGCTGAAGTCTATTTTCTTTCGTAAAACACAATCTTTAATTGTTAACATTTTTTAAGTCGGTTAAGAATCCACACATACAAAATCACAGACAAAAGCAAATGTATCTTTAGTAATTTAGAGAAAGGTACGTATGGAATGTATTTTATTTTATTTTTTTTTAGATAAAAAGCTCATAAAAAAACCATTTGTACGTGGGTCAGTATGTGCCTACACTGATAAAATTTTTTAACCATTAGTTAAATTAGCTTAGATACGGAAAAAAACAAGCGAATATTCAGTATTACAATTTACAACACAATAAAACAGCGATAAACAAAGCTATACGACAACGTAACCTTCAAGAAAAGAGCATATTCCTATTTAAAAGGCCGGCAGCACACCTGCAATGCCGTAGGTGTTGCGGGTGATCATGGGCGGCGGTAGTCACTTACCATCAGGTGAGCCGCGTGCTCGTTTTTTTTTATACAACTTAGAATGGCAAATGGCAAAGAAGCTGACGGCCCACCTGATGGAAAGTGGTAACCGTCGCCTATAGACATGCACAGTACCATGCACATAACAGAGTATACCGTTTCGCCCATGATACCCCCCATGCGTTGCCATTCCTGAGGACTCAGGTGTTATTCCTCTGTACCCATTGGTATAGAGGAATAACATATCCATTACTAACAATCCCTTCCCCCCCCCCGATCGATACTGTTAGTCCAGTTGATAGTGGCAAAGCAAACAATATAATATATTGCTAATCCAACGGAAGATGCTCGGACGCAATGCTCGCACTAAAATAAACAAGTAGTTACTAAGAATAATTTGCAGTTTTATGTTTCCCCTCTTAATAAAATAACAAAATACTACATTGGTCACAGCAGAATATCAGTGTTTTGCTCTTTTAAGGGCAAAGCAATAAACTTAGCTGTGACCATTTTGTGTTACAATGGCACACGCGTGAAGGAAGGGTAAGAAAGGAGATTGTTAGTTTATATATTTTGTTTTTTTTTATTTGTACTTTTTTATTTTCATTCTTTTACCTCTTTCACTGTGTATTATGTGTATGTTTTTTTATTGTAATTTGTGTGCTGTAAGTAATGTAAATGAATTATCTATCTATCTGTCTACAATACTACACAATTGTGCACTGAACTATGTCGTTTCATTTGTGATTTCAACAAGTATGTAATTGGTAGATGTCACAGGGTTTCGTAAGTAAACAGATCAGAGTAGATCTTGGGTCTAGTCGAGTCAACCTTTGGTTTAAAACCTCTTTTATCAATACCGGCATCCGGTTACAGTACTTTGTTCCAATAATGCTAAGTCTAGATTGAATCTAGAATGTGGTACGGCGAGTTTGTACCTATTTTTTTGTGCTAGAATAGACTGAATCGAATTACCAGTTCAATCTCGCTATATCCTTATTTATCGAAGCCATGATCTATATGTCTGTTTTAAATTTATTTCATTAAAAAAAATTTTCACGCCCACTCTAATACTTTATCCAACATTTTCCGATTTTAATGCGGTTTTCACTAATATAAAACACGTTGCGGTTTGCTCCACTTAACATTTAGTGTTTGTTTTATTTCAATCGGTTCATAAATAAAAAAGTTATACCAATCTAAAGGATCACATATGAAATGCTATAAAATAACCGATCGGTTGTATTGGCTGACACTTTATGAAGGTATTAGGTACGTAATTATCGTTTAAGTATATAATACAATGTAAGACCGGACTCATGAAGAGTTCCAAATAGGAATGATATACAAGAGCTACATAGAAGCGAGCAACGCCGCAGGAAACGGCTAGTACAAAATAATAAATGAAAAAAATACTATCAAGAGGCTACCGACCAAACAAAACGTTACCAGTTCCCATTACTAACGATTCCTTTCCCCGATATTTTATATTTGATGGATAAAATGGAGTAATAACCCCGCCTGCGCGGGGGAAAGGGATTGTTAGTAATGGAGACTGAGAATCCCATTGCTAGCAATATACCCAACCAGGTCCACCTCCTCGCGGTTCCCCCTGGAAACTATCATGGTTAATTCCTGATGAATTCATCATGATGGGCTAACTGGCCTGTTTTCATTCTCATCTATCACCCTTCACTGGTGCTCCGCCAGCGTATTCCATCAGTGCAGGCGGGGTTACCATACCATTTTCACCCATAAAAAGAAAACCCCCCGCCTGCGCTATTGGTATACACTGGCGGGGCACCAGTGAGGATGAAGCAGGCCTATAGTGATAGATTCATAAGAATTAGTATTCCCCCCAGACTAAGATCACTTCTCTGTACCCTGTAAATTCACTGCCATATCCCACCCTTCAAACCGAAACACAGTCATGCAAACACAACTGCTTCGGGGGAAAGGGATTGTTAGCAATGGAGTTTGACAGCCCCATTGCTAGCAATATGCCTTATTAGGTCGACCTCCACGTGCTTCCCCCTGGAAACCATCGTGAACAATTCCTGTTGATTCGTCATGATGGGCTAACTGACCTACTTCATCCTTCACTGGTGCCCCGCCGGTGTATACCGATAGCGCAAGCGGGGTTACCATACCATTATCATTCATTAAAAAAATATATAAAAAAAAACTTAAGTCGAAAAAAAATGGAGTTCTGTGATAAAAAACGAGAAACAAAAATACAAGTAAATTGAGTATTTTATTCTTTCTTTGAAGGCGATTAATAAATACAGACTTATTTAAAACGCCCTCACTGAAATCACTTTTTATTTTATCTCTATTCTGTACAAGTAAAAACAGGTTAATTTCAATCATAGACTATTTTTCGATATAATTTTTTTTTTTTTCTTTTAAACATAACGTATCAGGAACGGAACGTGTGTATTACTAACGGAATATTACTTTGACTAATTGTTTTTTATTTAATTTAGTTTGTATATAAGTTATATATATAATTCATAATGGAATGGTATATATAACATGTTACAAAATTAAATTCTGATGTATAAAATTCATATTAGGATCTATATTTTTAAAGTTAAAAAATAACGTTTAAGTAATAATGCGAAGAAATCGGTAAAATTAAATAGATTGTTGTATTAAATTATTATTTATTATTATGTAAATTATTATTTTTGTGTCTATTTTATTTTTAAATGATTAAATATAAGACAAGATTTTTCAATAGTAAACATCATTGTAACATATTTTTGTTTTAAATTTCGTCATTAAATAATAAAATAAACAAATAAGTAACAACATACAATAATATATAAACAATTAATACATAAACATTTTTAATATACATATTTGTTTATTTTATAACCAATTATTTTTATAAAAGGACGTACAATTGTGTCAACATGAGACAAATAGATTAGTTGTACCCATATTTAAAAGCAAAGTACTTACCTCAGTTGCTATCCGGTCTAAAACACAAATCTTTGTTTATTTACAAATAATTTACAAAATGAACTACCATATCAACCCAAATATAAACAAGAACTGAAACAAACTTGGTAAATGACCAATGACATTAGTTATCAATCGATTCTTATATATATATATATATATAGGTATTTATATTTCATTCGTGATTATCTTCACTCGTATCACTGAAGTTCGCTAACTTCACTCACGTGTTTGGTGAGTGACAGCTGACGTTTTAACCATAGTGATGGGCGTACACACGATTCAAAGCAATATCGATTGAAGCCGATTTTTTTTTTAAATTAAATAATAATAAGTTGAAAGACCATGAACGAAAAGAGATCACGAACATTATCTATATACGTTGATGGCCACAAAGAAACATAAATTAAAATATATATATAATAATAAATCTCTTTATTTTCAGGTATATACCCATAGTTTACATTTATATAATAATAAATAAACTGTTATTATTATTTTTAAAATATACATTAATTATAAAATACCAATTTAAATTATTTCGTTATAAAATCTCTTGTCGTCAGGTATGCTGTGAGAAATACAGTCTTTACAATATGATTACTTGTTGTCATTAATCTGTCATGAAATTTTGCCTTATAATTACGTAAAATAGCAAAAAAATCATTAACCCTGTTCTCTGCAAACATGCCAGACGCATTACACCGCCATGGCAAGTTGAGCATAGCTCGGAATGCGTTATTGTATTGCACACGCAGTGTGTTATAAGCCCTCTTCGTATAACTATACCATAACTGGCTGGTGTAGAAAGCCTAATAATAAGACTTAAACAATGTCAATTTGACTAGCTTCGAACAGAGAGAGATTTATTTATAATACATACATATTTTTGACGAGCTTTGTTTATTTTAAAACATTCTCGTATATTTATTTTAAACTTTTACCCGCAGCATAGTCTGCGTGGCCGAGAATTGTCGACTGACCGTAACAAATAATAGTTTATATCCTTGTTCATATTATAAAGTGTATGTATACCAAAATTCATAACTATTTATCGATCGTTAAAGTGCCAATTTAGATTTATAATATTAGTAAGAATTCGTTTGAAATACTAGACGCAAGATGTTACATATACATGATATTCGCACGGCTTTTTTTGTTTAATAAAATACAGTTCTTGTTATTCGCTAATTATGTAACTTTATATATATATATATATATATATATATATATATATATATATATATATATTATAATTACCAAGCCAGCTGTTAAAATTTAAAATTATAACTACTGAACGAATTTTGATTCTTTCTGATTTTCATCATATCAGCCTTTAACTGTCCACTGTTGAACATAAGCCTCCCCCTTGGAGTGGTTTTGCCAGTTATTGCCATGCTTGAGTTGATGTTTTAAGAGAAACGCTGCTGCCGATCCCTCGCCGCCCAAGAAATTTCCAAATCGGAATTTCGAGGTAACAAACATAAAAATATACAACCGATTTTTTTTTTAAGACGATTAAAAATCAATACATGCACCGTGTTCCATGCACGTGTGCTCTTTCATGCTTCAAAAACATTTATTGATTTATCGATAACTATTATCAATTTGTATCCATCACTGTCTGTCTTCGACATGCAGTTAAAATGCACTTCTCTCACTCTGGTTGCTACATACTGGACAGTACTTTTGTGATACCTACCTACTTTTTTTTTTATTGGTGAAAATGGTATGGTAACCCCGCCTGCGCTAAGGGAATACGCTGGCGGAGTACCAGTGAAGGGTGATAGATGAGAATGAAAACAGGCCAGTTAGCCCATCATGATGAATTCATCAGGAATTAACCATGATAGTTTCCAGGGGGAACCGCGAGGAGGTCTACCTGGTTGGGTATATTACTAGCAATGGAATTCCCAATCTCCATTACTAACAGTCCCTTTCCCCCCTATATATTCGGAACGAAATATACGAAACAGAAATTTGATGTTAAAATTACGTAATACATGCCGTTTAAAAATATTTGAAATGTTAAAATATCCTTCCTCTGGACTATTAGGATAGGATTTATGATGTACGAAATGTTAAGCACCATTTACTGGCTCGATTTCGGTATGAACAAAAACACGAAATTTGGCGCGAAAATTCGGATTTGAAAACTCGAAACAGCATAACCTAATTAAAAAAATATTATTTTGTAATTGCCAGAGTATTTTTGTAACAATAGTTAATCAGATGTGTCAAATTTCTATATTGGCGTGTAGTTTTTGTTGTTGGGGATATTTATTTATAATAAAATAACTAATAATTTTATAATGCTGTTTCTTTATTCACTTATTTTCCACAGACAATATCTATATATTATTTTTATTACCATAGACTGAGAGTAGGCAAAAGCATAAACTTATACATTCTTAACAGTTTTATCATTATTCATAAATGTGAAATGACAAATAGAAACAAACATTATAATAAATTACTATAATGATAAAAAAATAATAAAACCCCTCGCCCATTTAGAAATTATGCCTCAAACTATCTACAATTACAGTATAATCAACAAAAATGACAGCCCCGATCCTAGCGCCATCTAGTATTCCGTTCCCAATTTTGTTTAGTGACCAACCCTTTTTAATTGACCAACCGCTTTCGAAGTAACATGGCCCAATAATTTTTACGTCTACCTACAAATTTATAATATTTTATTACATTTACATGATAACGATTATATACATTTAATTGTGTAAAGTGTGTGAATTGAAAATAACTCGTCATGGATTGTGACGTTGAGATGATAGAATCCAAACCTGGGTCGTCTGAACAAAATCCAAACGATGATGGGGTATCACCGCAAAATATGTTCATAACAATAGCTAATACCAAAGTGAATTTGAGTTATTTACTGAACGAGGAAGTGTGGCATCGAAGTGCTGGTTTAGAGGCGCAAATTCGCCGCATAAACATCGTCACTAATATGGACTTGGACTACTCAATGGAGGATATGAATGATGAAACGGCATTCGAAACACTATGGAAAGCAGTTGACGAGGATCCGATAAAAAATTTCAACTATTTCCGTGACGAATGCACGAAGGATGAATTCGCGTTTGTTTCGGTCGCCGTAAAAATATCCGTGCAAAGTATAATAAAACTTTGTAGGCATATATACGAAACTAAAGATCTTGGCAAGGAATTTCTAAGTGGCTTCCACACTCATTTCCTCATTGCACTTCTGAAGAGAAAATACGATTGGTTGACAATGGACTTGTTGATTAGGTCATCTGTTACTTATAGAAATGAGTTCGACGTATTCCTTAAATGGTTGGTCAACGACCTGGACGTGACCAATAGATTTCTCGCTGACTACGCCAAAATTATAAATAAGGAGAGAAAAACGAAAATACTGGAGATGTTTTGTGATGTTCACTTCACCAAAGAAGAGTTCGCGCATTTCCTATTAGGCATATATCATTTATATGACGGATGCGTAAGGACGGACGACATATTCCAATTTATACTACATAACATGATACTTACATCCGAACATTGTGCCCGCAATAAAAACTATGGAAAACTATTACATTCTATAGTAAAAGAGCCGAGCAGTTACGCCATGAATCGTTTCACTGTCAGGAAATTGGTTGACGACCATGGGACGGTGTATAAAGCACCGTGCTATTCAATATTGGATGGTAACGCATTAGAAAGATTGCACTTGCATGTGAATTTAATAAATCGACCAAGAATTATGATACCAACAGAAACTAATACACTGTCGTTGAGTGTGTAAGTTAATTTTCAACTAATAATTGTCTTTTATTAATTGAGCTACTCAAGTTTCTAGTTAACATCGATTTTATTAAAACATTACAAATTTAACTATAAACTTTAGTATGTTATTGTATTATTGAATAGTCTTTTGTATTTAGAGAATTACTATAAATATAGTAATAATTATGTTACATCAGGTATGAAACATCAATCTTATTTTATTAATCATTATACCAGTTTATTGTGGTAACATTGTAACCATTATTTTTTTGATATTAACTCAGATATGCTTACCAAGTGATGTAACACCGTTAAACGTGATATAAAATTATCATTTGGTACATATAGTTTTTATATATCAACTAAACTTATTTAGAATGGTTCACACTTGAACGATTCATGAAGAATGTAACAAATATTTTACTTTTTAAAACATTTTTTTTTAAGTTTTAAAATCACGGTACGAAAATTTTTTTAAATTATTTTAAATAGGCAAGTCCTTTTTACGTGATTTAAAATATAATAGTTTTTTAACTGTATTTTATGTAAATTTAATTTTACATGAATATATATTAAATTAATTACAACATGTAAAAAACATGTTAATGAAATATAAAATTCCCGTTTTTTTTTTATGATATTTTTCATGATAAACAATAAGAGATATTTTAACATCTGATAGGCCTATGCACTACCGTCACAGACAATATAAATATAAGAACATGTAAATTATGAAATATAATGGAATAGCAGACTTATTACCTTGTATTATGAAGTTTTATTAATTACAGATTTATTATTATGTGTTTAGTACAATATTTATACGATTTTACAGGATTCAGTTAAGTAGAACAGCTATACATTTGTTAAAAATGATGTTTTTTCTTATACAGAGTTTGCAGTTTAGTACTATATATAATATATTTACCAGAGTGAGACTTTGTACAAAAGTCGTTTGCTTGGCCACCTCTGTCCCATTCGTGTTTCTACCGTGAAGCAGTTGTGTTTGCATGGCTGTGTTTCGTTTTGAAGGGTGGGATATGGCGTGAATTTACAGGGTACAGAGAAATAACTCCTTAGTCCTCAGGAATAGCAATGCATGAGAGGTATCGTGGGCGAAACAGTATACTCTGTTATGTCCATGGTACTGCTCATGTCTATAGGCGACGGTTGCCACTTTCCATCAGGTGGTCCATCAGTTTGTTTGTCATTCTAAGTTGTATAAAAAAAGAAAATATAGTATAGGTATTTACAAAAAATTACCAATTATATTATAGATAGATATCCTTTGTACAAAAGATACCAGTCTTGTAAGTTTCAATAACTTTACGTCTACTTTATAACATGAAGTTTCTGTTACACTTGTACAACGT